ACATGGTGGGCTACTATATGGGGCTCTCAGAGCAATTTTGATGAAATGGCCCCTGCTTGAATTTCATTTACCTTGGTAGTAGTCTCTTGTGATATACATTAACATTGAGTAGTGGGAGATTGGGTTCTGGATGGTGAGATTACTTGGGGAGCAGTTTCAACAGTTTCTTCAGCATCTATAACATCTCTATCTACACTCTTAGAAAAAAGGGTTCCATAGGACAACCCTTTTGGGTTCCAGGTAGAACCCTTTTGGTTTCCCCTCTGTGGAAAGGGTTCTATGGAACTGAAAAGAGTTCTACCTAGAGCCAAAAAATAGATATTCAAATGGTTATCCTATGGGGACAGCCGAAGAATCCTTTTAGGTTCTAGATACACTGTTAGATCAAGATGAGTGGTGGACCATTCTTGATACACACGGGAAACTGTTGAGCGTGAAAAACCCAGCAGCGTTGCAGTTCTTGACACAAACCAGTACGCCTGGCACCTACTACTAAGGCACTTACATATTTTGTCTTGCCCATTCACCCTGTGAATGGCACACATACACAATCCATGTCTCAATTGTCTCAAGGCTTAAAAATCCTTCTTTAACCTGTCTCCTCCACTTCATCTACACTGATTGAAGTGGATTTACCAAGTGACATCAATAAGGGATCATAGCTTTCACCTGGTCAGTCTATGTCATGGAAAGAGCAGGTGTTCATAATGTTTTGTAAACTCAGTGTATATATGTGCGTTGTGTTGTCTTCCTAACTGGTCCCTAAGGTTCTCTCCATCTCTGTTCTCTCCCCAGTGAGAGTTATCTCACCCACAGTAGAGGCTATGCTCACTAACTCTAACTCATGAAGACAATGTAAGGATTGTATGATTTGATGGTGGTGATCTTGAATATGAAATGGAATGAATGTGGCATGGGATTGAACTTCAGCATGTGTGATTTGTTTAATTTAAAACCCAGGCAGGCAGGCACCATGTTTATACAGCATGTAATGTAAGTTTGTGTTATTTATTGTGTAAATGTTATTTACTGTAGTGCCTATGTGGTCACAGCTGGTAGAGCACGGCGCTTGTAACGCCAAGGTAGTGTGTTCGATCCCCGGGACCACCCATACACAAAAATGTATGCACGCATGACTGTAAGTCGCTTTGGATAAAAGCGTCTGCTAAATGGCATATTATATTATTATTATATAGTGGTTTATGATATGGATGCTATAGTCATAATGGAAATTCAAGTGTGGGTGGGGATGGGGGAGAGAATTTGACTTTTTGAAAAACTGCTCAGCAATTTTCCATTCAGAAGCTCACAAAAGTTTGTATAACTGCAGACTTGTAAAAAGTCTGAAAGTACAGCATCATCCATTCTAATCTTGCATGAGGAAGTTTCTGCAGTGTAGAGATGAGTCAAGCCTGTGCCTGCAGATGAGTAGACAACACCCAGGCCGTTACAGCAGAATACTGTGGTCATGGTGTGGTGACTTTTACTAAAGGCTCTGACTAGGCTCAGTGACACTGCCTGACATTAGTATCTACTGCAAAACCCTCTGTTCTCCTGTCAAATGAGTTTTCAGTGTTGGGTTGAGTCACGATTGCATAGACTGTCTATGTGTTTTACATATCGCTCTCTCTTTATCTATGTTTCTCACTTTCTCTACGGTTTCTCTCTTCATCCACCCGTACCTTTCTCTCTCTCTCTCTCCTTCCCTCCCTCTTGCTCTCTTTCGCTCTCTCCCTCCCTCTCTCTCCCTCCATCTCTCTCTCCCTCCTTCCCTCCCTTCCTCTTTTTCTCTCTCTCAACAGGATCCTGTCTGCAATGCTGACATTCTTGGTGCATATCCTCATCGTCTCCCACGGTGAGTTGAGCTCCTTCCCCGTTAGTCTCACTGCATCCATCCACATTACCTCCCCTGGGGCTCACAACTTCACTATCCCCAGGAAAGCTTTCCCTTGGACTAAAATAATGAATAGCAAACATTTCAGCAGCAATGCCACATGTATTTACATTACATTTGGTTCCTTATTGATTGCAGTCCAGCAGCAATTCATCTTTTTTTTTTTTTTTTTACATTTTTTTTTTTTTGGTCATTTAGCAGACGCTCTTATCCAGAGCGACTTACAGGAGCAATTAGGGTTAAGTGCCTTGCTCAAAGGCACATCGACAGATTTTTCACCTAGTCGTCTCGGGGATAAGAACCAGCGACCTTTCGGTCGCTCTTAACCACTAAGCTACCTGCCGCCACAAATTCCCTGGAAACTTCCCGTGCCAGAACATACAGAACAGTACACTCATCCGCATATACAGTGGGGAGAACAAGTATTTGATACACTGACGATTTTGCAGGTTTTCCTACTTACAAAGCATGTAGAGGTCTGGAATTTTTATCATAGGTACACTTCAACTGTGAGAGACAGAATCTAAAACAAAAATCCAGAAAATCACATTGTATGATTTTTAAGTAATTCATTTGCATTTTATTGCATGACATAAGTATTTTATACATCAGAAAAGCAGAACTTAATATTTGGTACAGAAACCTTTGTTTGCAATTACAGAGATCATACGTTTCCTGTAGGTCTTGACCAGGTTTGCACACACTGCAGCAGGGATTTTGGCCCACTCCTCCATACAGACCTTCTCCAGATCCTTCAGGTTTCGGGGCTGTCGCTGGGCAATACGGACTTTCAGCTCCCTCCAAAGATTTTCTATTGGGTTCAGGTCTGGAGACTGGCTAGGCCACTCCAGGACCTTGAGATACTTCTTACGGAGCCACTCCTTAGTTGCCCTGGCTGTGTGTTTCGGGTCGTTGTCATGCTGGAAGACCCAGCCATGACCCATCTTCAATGCTCTTACTGAGGGAAGGAGGTTGTTGGCCAAGATCTTGCGATACATGGCCCCATTCATCCTCCCCTCAATACGGTGCAGTCGTCCTGTCCCCTTTGCAGAAAAGCATCCCCAAAGAATGATGTTTCCACCTCCATGCTTCACGGTTGGGATGGTGTTCTTGGGTTGTACTCATCCTTCTTCTTCCTCCAAACACGGCAAATGGAGTTTAGACCAAAAAGCTCTATTTTTGACTCATCAGACCACATGACCTTCTCCCATTCCTCCTCTGGATCATCCAGATGGTCATTGGCAAACTTCAGATGGGCCTGGACATGCGCTGGCTTGAGCAGGGGGACCTTGCGTGCGCTGCAGGATTTTAATCCATGACGGCGTAGTGTGTTACTAATGGTGTTCTTTGAGACTGTGGTCCCAGCTCTCTTCAGGTCATTGACCAGGTCCTGCCGTGTAGTTCTGGGCTGATCCCTCACCTTCCTCATGATCATTGATGGCCCACGAGGTGAGCTCTTGCATGGAGCCCAAAACCAAGGGTGATTGACCGTCATCTTGAACTTCTTCCATTTTCTATTAATTGCGCCAACAGTTGTTGCCTTCTCACCAAGCTGCTTGCCTATTGTCCTGTAGCCCATCCCAGCCTTGTGCAGGTCTACAATTTTATCCCTGATGTCCTTACACAGCTCTCTGGTCTTGGCCATTGTGGAGAGGTTGGAGTCTGTTTGATTGAGTGTGTGGACAGGTGTCTTTTATACAGGTAACGAGTTCAAACAGGTGCAGTTAATACAGGTAATGAGTGGAGAACATGAGGGCTTCTTAAAGGAAAACTAACAGGTCTGTGAGAGCGGGAATTCGTACTGGTTGGTAGGTGATCAAATACTTATGTCATGCAATAAAATGCAAATGAATTACTTAAAAATCATACAATGTAATTTTCTGGATTTTTGTTTTAAACCTGCAAAATCGGCAGTGTATCAAATACTTTTTCTCCCCACTGTATACAGAAACAAAGGTCATCTTCCCATACAGTCACACCCCTACTTACAATACAGTCCATTATTGCCAAAAAGTGTTGCATTTCATTGGTGTGACACTGAGTGATCTAAATAGAAGTATGCCAGTCTCTGCGGTTAGCCATCCTTGAAATGTTGGACATCATCCAATGTGTTCGGCAGTAATCCTTCTACCACACAAGTGAAACACAGAATAGATCGTTCTCACATTAGCAGCGCATAATGTCTCCTGACCACAAAAATGGCCCACATTGAACCAAATAGACACACAAAAAGAAAAGTAGAAATGAAGTAGGAACATGATTGCTGCACCACATACCTTTTTAATTACATTTTACATTTTAGTCATTTAGAAGACGCTCTTATCCAGAGCGACTTACATGAGCAATTAGGGTTAAGTGCCTTGCTTAAGGGCACATCGACAGATTTTTCACCTAGTTGGCTAGGGGATTAGAACCAGCGACCTTTCGGTTACTGGCACAACGCTCTTACCCACTAAGCTACAATGAATTTATCCAAGAGTGGATCTTTGTCAGGTAAAGTAGCAATCCTTTGTGTGTGTGTGTGTGTGTGTTTGTGTTTTGAGAACACTGTCTTTGGGAATCAGTATACAACAGACATCCCTTTTGTAATATCTACCCCAAGCCAGCATGCTATGGGGAGACTGGGAGGGTGGATGGGTGACTAATGGGTGGAATGAACCATAGTCTTGTCAGTCACGTTGTTTTACCTGGTTGACAAAGAAGCATGTGCAGTAAGTATCCTTGAGTTGGTAGAATCACTCTGGTATAGGCTGAGGTTACCAGAGTTTATTCTAGTGAAGGTCTCTGAACAATAGTGTAGCCTTTTTATAATACTTTTACCAAATTCATGAACATCTCTTGAAATCTTGATCTCTTGAATTCGGTCTGAAAGGAATGTATTATTAGGAATTCATATCAATGTCGTATTTTTAAATGTTTCATATCCGCCTAGGGGCAAATGCTATTGTAATGGTTGGAATAAATATTGTGGGGATTGAATACCATGTGGAGAATCAAACCCACAATTCTGGTATTACCAGCATCATTATACCCCAGCCACAGCTTCTGTCCAGTGTCTGATGTAATTTCCTGTCAATCATGTTTACTTCCTGTTTCTGCCTCAGGTGCTGTGTCGGTGGAGCCTGTGGAAGAATCCCCCCATGGAGACCTTCTAGACCTCCCCTGGCAGACAGAGCTCTGCTGTGCCTCACGCCCAGCCCAACTTCACCAGGGAGTAGAGGGAGCGGACAGGTGGCCTGCGGGGTCCAGGGCAGCACCATCTGTTCCGGGACACCCACACACCCCTCAGTGCCTCTTCAGGAACTTCACAAGCACACTAGGACCTCACCCGGAGACTGAGCCCAGCAGAGGTAAGCATCCTGCTCTGTTTTACTGACATGACATCACAGGAAGCTGCTGAGGGCCGGAACGGAGCAAATGGAATGGCATCAAACACCTGGAAACCATGTGTTTGATGTATTTGATACCACTCCACTGTAGCTCAATTGATAGAGCATGGCGCTTGTAACGCCAGGGTAGTGGGTTTGATCCCCGGGACCACCAATACGTAAAGATTTATGCGCACATGACTGTAAGTCACATTGGATAAAAGCGTCTGCTAAATGGCATATTATTATAATTATTACGCTCCAGTCATTACCATGAGCCCATTCTCCCCAATTAAGGTGCCACCAACCTCCTGTGCATGACATTTACTGGGTGAGAGTTCTGTCTTACTACTGCCCTGGGACCGTATTCACAAAGCATCATATAGTAGAGTGCTGACCTAGGATCAAATACCTTTTAAATCATAATGAATAAGAGTAAGGAATTGATCCTAGATTAGCACTCCTATACTGAGACAGTTTGTATATACTGGCCTTGGACAGCTGGATGAATGTGTTTTTCATTTCATTTCTCTGAATGGTGCGTAATAAAACAGCCTGTGACCACTAACTGCACTGAAGAAGAGAACATTGAGGCTCATTCAGTTGAATAGGGGCCAATTAACTGGAGTGATATGATGGCCTCTGTGCACTTGAGTGTGGTGTTTTTCTCTGTCTGGAGGTGGTGGTGGAAGTGGGAGGTGGTAACACAAGCTAAAGCTGTGTGTGGATGTATGCATCCGTGCCTGTGTGTGCATCCGTGCATGTGTGTGTTTTTAACAACAGGAAGTAATGGCTCATGGCGAAGGATTTATTCATGAGATCGAAAGCGAGGTGGTAGCCTCTGACGCGTGCTAATGCTAATCCATAGTCATTAGATGAGGCTACCCACCGCCTGTGGCTCTGTGGCATTTAGAGAGGGGATGTTTTGAAAACGGTCTCATGAATCGTTGACAATAACTGTGCAGAGGTAAAATGGTGTCAGTGGGTGTTACATTTTTCTCTACAATGACGAGCTGAATCAGCTCAGGAAGACCTGAGGTCCTAAGTGTGAGGAAGAGGGGGTGAATGGATGGATTGTTAGATGACGTTGGCCAGATTCTAGGGCTTATTTTTTCAGAATATGTTCCAGGGCTTGCTATGACTGTCCTAACTGGGTGTGGGTTTATTCAACTAGGTGGGTTTGTGTGCTTGGCGTGGGGTTGGTGAGTTCATATATTAAGGTTTACAGCGACCAGACAGACAGACAGATAGACAGACAGACAGACAGTATGTGCCTGTGTTGATGCTAATATGCGAATTACATTTCTCTCCAGCCACCTGTTGGGACATCCTGTGCCGTGTTGATGAGACCTGGGAAAATGTAATATGTGATCTAAAGCACCTCACCACTTCCTCAGACACCTCCACTCCCGGGTCAGTGGCACTTTGCTTGCATCACTTAGCGTGAGTATCAAGTTCAATTCAACCTGCTGCTATTGTCTAGAGTCTCTGTCCTCTCCTCTCCCGTCCTGTTTGTTATTCTTGTCTAGTGTTGGCTCAAAGATGTGCCTGAGGCAGTAAGAGCACAGGTGGGGGTCTGAGGTGTGTGTGTGTGTGTGTATCCGTGTCTGTCCATGTCTGCATGCAATGTGACTGGCAGAGCCTATTCTCCCACAGCAGGGTTAAGCATGGAGCTGGCTGAGATTGTTGGCTGTGTGATAAAAAACCAACACCAGTTGCCTACAGTGCCTTGCAAAAGTATTCATCCCCCTTGGTGTTTTTCCTATTTTATTGCATTACAACCTGTAATTTAAATGAAATTTTATTTGGATTTCATGTAATGGACAAATATTTTGCGTCTTCAAAGTGGTAGGCATGTTGTGTAAATCAAATGATACAAACCCCCCAAAAATCAATATTAATTCCAGGTTGTAAGGCAACAAAATAGGAAAAATGCCAAGGGGGGTGAATACTTTCGCAAGCCACTGTATAATTGGTCTTTTGGCCAATCAGATTAAATATTTTGCAAATAATTAGGCAAAATATCACAAAAGTGTTTTTACTTGTTGTTTTCATTACTTTCATGTGGATTGCACCTAGCCTGGTCCCAGATGTTTGTGTGATCATTTCAAACATGGCATGACAAGGAGTTGACATGATAGCACAAACAGATCTGGGACCAGGCTAGGTTGTATCCTGACCTGTGTTTAGTCTATGATTACCACACTAGCCTCTTATCTTTACTGAATGAAAGTATATTTATTTAGGCTGGGTTTTTGACCAGGGCCCATAGGGCTAAACGTAGTGCATATGGGGGGATGCAGTCCATGGCCTCATCTGGTGAAGTACATAAATGTCTCCTGTCTATTTCAGAACACTGCCTGACAGTGAGGTAAACACCACGCATGGGACTGACAGCATGGACTGTGTGGGAGAGGATTCCATCACTTGTTCTATTGCTCTCCATGTGGTCAGCAGTATCGTCGTGGTGACAGCCAATGTGTCCAACACCACAGCAGGTCCCCTGGTGATGCTCAGCGTCCCTCCATGTCTCGGTAAGGCGTGTCTGAATGCGTCTGATCCCCCTCTCAACCTCTCGTCTGAAGGTGATAGAGGATGTTAATTGCTTAAATGGCCTATCTATCAGGTCCTCATATTCTGAGGTTAATGGATATCACTTAACATTTGCCAAGCACCAGCGTGTTGCCTGGCAAGCTTATTGTTTATTATGTAGGCTAGCAGTATCTAGGGAGCCATTTGTACCATGAATGAAACTGGGGAGTTATTGGTTAAGGCTTAAAGACTGCACACACGTGTTTACATTATAGTGAGTGTAACGGGCAGCTTCAGTAGGTCTGATACCAGCTGCCCTTTGGGACTTCCAGGCAGGCCGGGGTTAGTGTTTACTCTGGTCCCAGGAACCATGGTGATGAGCTGGAGATCTCTCCACTGATGGGAAACACATACCTTGTTTGCTCAATCAAAGCTCTTTGCGGCCTTGTTGGTCAATGGAACATTGGTTTGATACAAGTAGAAATTGTAGCCTGTTATATTAATTGAAGTGCCATTTAATTTAGATCACATGGAAAATTATGTAAGTCTTATTTTTAATATGAAGAAAGACTTGCTAAAGGGCCCAAATTCTGCATTTAGACATGTCGTTCTGTGCATTCTCTGTGACTTCTAGGAGGATTTTAACCCACTTAACCCCTACATTTCACCATAATTGTAAAGCCCTAGTTATTTTGCTGCTTTGACAAAGTCATTTCTGAAGATTATTATTTATTTGTTGTTATAAATCTGTCCCTCATTTTAAGGTTAACCCTCTTAAGTGAACTGAACTCTCATTTCAATATGGTGAAACTATTCATTTAAAAAATATATATAAATAGACATTGAAGATCTAATATTCAAATCATAGTGTAAAAGCAGGTGAGCTGGTGTTTTGTGGTGGAAAACTGAGCGGGTCGAGCATAACATGTCAATCCTGTTACCCATAGATGGACAGGCTAGACATTTTTAACAATAAATAATTGTGTGAAGCTTGTATTAATTTGCCTCTCCCTGTTGCACACAACAAGCTTCCATTCCCCCTGTCACTAGGGGATTTATGGCTAATTTAAGATTAAGTTGTCAACCCTGTTACTTTATTTGGCACTTACTATAGTATTACTATAGATGGGAAAAGATGGGAAAATGTGTTTTTATTAAGTTGAACATGTGCTCTTTATGATAGTACATTAGAGGATGCATATATATATTGCCTTATCAGCCATGTTCTCAATGATTAACAACAACATTTTGATCAGAGGTTATGGTTTCCATTAGTGGGTCTGCTCTCTTACATCACAAGCAGTAAAGCATACGTAGCTACATGCATCTCAATATTTACAAAGTCCTATGCCACAGAAAGAGCACTTATCAAGAGAGGGGTATAAACCCCTGGAATATCAGTAGGCCTAAATGATGTAGCAAGGCAGGAAGCAGGAAAATTGCCTGCTTATCAGCTTTAAGAAGAGTTTGCTCCCCTCGCCATTATGTGAGGAATGAATGTACGTCAGATATGCTGTTTATGCTCGTATGGGCTGGTATTCTGACTTAATATTCTTGCGCTTAACTTACATTTTCACACGAGTCTCCTATCAAAGTCAATGCATGATTTAGTGCCTTTAGTGTCCAACCAACGTGAAGGGAACTACCATTCATTCCCTAAAAGTAATTTAACATTCACAGCCTGTTTATTAAGATGTGAATGTCTGAGAGTGATAATCTTTAATAATGAAACATTAAAAAAACAGAAGAAGGAAAAAAAACTGCTGATTAATTCAGTCTCTCTTCCTGTCGGCTAGGCGGGGACATTTCCATTATGAGACTCAATTATCCCCCCTGCTGCTCATCATCACCGCGCCTTATAATTATGACACTTCTCTTTTCTGTTTTATAAGATGGGTTACAAACAACGCCTGTGTCAAGTCAATCACTGGGAGTAAACACAAAGACCAACAAAGAAGTTTAAATACCAGGAAGATACATCTCACTGTAAAATACTGTAATATATGTTAAAATTCCAAGAAGAACTTGTGAGAGGGTGTCTTTTCTACTCTGCCTTGGTACTGGGTTGCGATTTCAGTGATTTAATTCCATTTTGAGGTATTGATTTTCCTGACATGAGGAGCTTGGCCTTATTGATCGGTATTCAGTAATAAGCCCATAGACCACTAAAGTAGATATGCTGTCTAATAGATAGACTGTTATTATATCATGTTCACACACCACTGAGCCTGGCCTGTCATGGTGTCACGTCAGCTCACGTCCTCTGTCGCTCAGCTGGTAGAGCACGGCGCTTGTAATGCCAGGTTAGTGGGTTCGATCCCCGGGACCACCCATACACAAAAAAATTATGCACGCATGACTGTAAGTCGCTTTGGATAAAAGCGTCTGCTAAATGGCATATTATATTATTATATACGTTTCTGCTGATTTCATCATTTGGCTGCCCTGTATGAAGCCTGTGGGAGTCTATAACCAATGCAGTTTATCAGGCACAATCAATGTGTCTCCAATGGCTGTTACAGTAGTGTATGTGCCTGAGGCCATTGTTGTCTCTGCAGTATAGAGTTACAGATATTGCATCTTAATTTGATCACTTGTTTGTTACTGAGAATGTTCCTGCGCTGGAAATGCAGATGAGCTTCGTGATTTACATACATTCACTGAAAACCTGCACAAACACACGGTTATATACTGAACAAAAATATAAATGCAACATGCAACTTTCCTGAGTTACAGTTCATATAAGGAAATCAGTGAATTGAAATAAATTCATTAGGTCCTCATCTATGGATTTCACATGACTGGGAATACAGATATGCATCCATTGGTCACAGATACCTTAAAAAAAAAAGGTAGGGTCCTGGATCAGAAAACCAGTCAGTATCTGGCGTGACCACCATTTGCTTCATGCAGTGCGACATCTCTTTTGGATAGAGTTGATTAGGCTGATTGTGGCCTGTGGAATGTTGTCCCACTCCTCTTCAATGGCTGTACGAAGTTGCTGGATATGGGCAGGAACTGGAACATGCTATCGTGCACGTTGATCCAGAACATCCAAATTTTGTGACATGTGTGGTGAGTATGCAGGCAATGGAAGAACAGGGAAAGTTTCAGCTTCCAGGAATTGTGTACAGATCCTTGCTACATGGAGCCATGCATTATCATGCTGAAACATGAGGTGATGGCGGCGGATGAATGGCACAGCAATGGGCCTCAGGATCTTGTCATGGTATCTCTGTGCATTCAAAATGCCATCGATAAAATGTAATTGTGTTCCTTGTCCGTAGCTTATGCCTGCCCATACCATAACCCCACCACCACCATGGGGCACTCTGTTCACAACGTCTGTTCAGTAAACCGCTCGCCCACAGGACACCATACACGTGGTCTGTGGTTGTGAGGCCGGTTGGACGTACTGCCAAATTTTCTAAAATGACACAGTCAGCATGCCAATTGCACACTCCCTCAACTTGAGACCTCTGTGGCATTGTGTTGTGTGACAAAACTGCACAGTTTAGAGTGGCTTTTTATTGTCCCCAAGACAAGGTGCACCTGTTTAATGATCATGCTGTTTAATCAGCTTCTTTGTGCACAACATTTGAGAGAAATAAGCTTTTTGTCCGTATGCAACATTTCTGGGATCTTTTATTTCAGGTCATGAAACATGGGACCAACACTTTACATGTTGCGTTTTTATATTTTAGTTTGGTGTATTAACAGTATTGCACTTTTCATGTTGCCTACTTTTGTCCAGCTAACAGCCTAACCACCGATCAAGCAACATTATGCACAAAACTTTCAAATCCTGTTGCTACCAAATACTGGTCAAATTAAGATCCTACATTGGCGTATTGGATGGCATTATGAGTACTCCTGAGTACTCATAATGCAGATAGATGTCCAGAGTACTCCTGAGTGGCGCAGTGGTCTAAGGCACGGCATCGCAGTGCTAACTGTGCCACTAGAGATCCTGGTTCGAATCCAGGCTCTGTCGCCGCCGGCCGCGACCAGGAGACTCATGGGCGGCGCACAATTGGCCCAGCGTCGTCCAGGGTAGGGGAGGGAATGGTCGGCAGGGATGTAGCTCAGTTGATCGAGCATGGCGTTTGCAACGCCAGGGTTGTGGGTTCGTTTCCCACGGGGGGCCAGTATAAAAAAAAAAAAAATTATTCACTAACTGTAAGTCGCTCTGGATAAGAGCGTCTGCTAAATGACTAAAATGTAAAATGTAAATGTAAAATGATGATGGCGATTAATGATGATGGTGGTGTTTCATCAAATCAAATCAAATGTATTGGTCACACACACATGGTTAGCAGATGTTATTGCGAATGTAGCGAAATGCTTGTGCTTCTTGTTCCGACAGTGCAGCAATATCTAGCAAGTAATATCTAACAGTTCCACAACAAAAACCTAATACACACAAATCTAAGTAAAGGAATGGAATAAGAATATATAACTATATGGATGAACAATGTCATTGTTTGGAGGATGGTGATGCTGCTAACAATCATGAATCATGGATGATGATGAAGATGATTATGTATTCATCCAGTATGTATTGCTTGTGGTGTGTGTGTGTTGTACAGGGAAACCAAGTCCACTAGTGAACCTAACGCACACCCAGACCACAGAGGGAGAGTTGGTTCTGAGCTGGAGCGACCCACAGCCACAGCCCCATGCCAGCCCTGTCCCACTGAGCTATGAGGTCCGATACAACACCTCCCAAAGTACCTCTCACCCCAACTGGCTGGTAAGAACATGCTGGCCTCCGAGCAAACACAACATCTAAGTACAGGTCTTACAGCAAATAAAGCTAAAGACAATAATAATTTAACAGAGAACAAGAGCAAACACCTAGAGGATAGAGGATGTTGAAGAAGAGTCTTAAGACCGCTCATGGTTTTCTTAGATGTAGATATCAGTTTTAGTTATGTTCTCAGTCATCACAATAAAAACAAATAAAGAGAGTCGCACAGTAAATAAATTACTGGGAGTTTATACATAGTGTGTGCGACTCTCTTATTTGTTTTTATAGCTTACAGTTTATTCTCCGTTGGTCAGCACCTCTACACTAAGTGATGTTCTCTGGGTGTGCGCCAGCTCATACTTTTTATTAGACTCAGTCATCACAATGCCATTTTGTATTTGTGTCAAATTGTCAATCCATATAGTAACTTCTGTATGACATCTTGTATTTCTCTCCCCTACTCCTTTGTTCCAGCACATGGAGGTGTCTGGAGGCCAGTGGGTGTCTCTGACTGGACTGAGGCCTGGTCTGCACTACACTGTCCAGATCCGGTCTCACCACCCTGCTCTGCCTCACCTGTGGAGTGACTGGAGCCAGCCACACCGCATCCATCTGGAAAGTAAGACCTCTCTCTCTTTCTGCACAGAAACATGCGTATCTTAAACACACAGTTAACATCATACTGGACATCTATCTGCACAGTAAGACCTCTGCCTTGCCCTACATACACACATACAGTCAGAGATATTCCCCTCACATACAGTATACCTGCACAGCACAGGAGGCTGCTGAGGGGAGGACGGCTCATAATAATGTCCGGAACGGAGCAAATGGAATGGCATCAAACACATGGAAACCATGACTTTAATGTATTTGATACCATTCCAGGTATTCCACTCCAGTCATTATCACGAGTCCGTTCTCCCCAATTAAGGTGCCACCATCCTCCTGTGCTGCACAGTAAGACCTCTGGTTATACAGCAATGTACACATGCTTTAGTGATGTGCAGTTCGCAAACGATTTGTTATTTTTGAACAACAATTTATACTGACTCGAGAGTCATGATTCGTTTTTCTGAGTGACTCATTCATTTTAGTCGTTCGTTTGACCTGCTGGCTGCAATGAATTCTACAGCAGGATTAATACGTGCTCCTCCGGTGACTCCGGAGACGTGCTCCGACCAACAACTGTCTGTATGCGCGCAGGCAAAATAGATCATGATGCAGGCAGCATAGAGAAGGAAAAATATGTTTAAATTAGAACTGATAATTGATCGCATGGTGCAAGAATGAAATACATTTATTATTGAACATTATGATGGACACAGCTTTGCATGCTCTGGTTATTACTGACTCAAATGAACAAATTGAGTTAAGATTTGTTCTTTTGACTGAACGAGTCGAAAAGATCTGAGTCCGTAAAAGAAGCCAAACTTCCCATCATGCTTCAGCTGTCTGCATTAACACAACATTTACAGTTACTTATTATTTGATTACTGGTACAATAACCGTTTGTCGAGCAAAAACAAGCTTTTCTATGTTCCAGACCATCTATCACGGCTGTAGGCAGCTGTACAGACCATCTATCACGGCTGTAGGCAGCTGTACAGACCATCTATCAGGGCTGTAGGTAGCTGTACAGACCATCTATCAGGGCTGTAGGCAGCTGTACAGACCATCTATCAGGGCTGTAGGCAGCTGTACAGACCATCTATCAGGGCTGTAGGCAGCTGTACAGACCATCTATCACGGCCTTAGGCAGCTGTACAGACCATCTATCACGGCCTTAGGCAGCTGTACAGACCATCTATCACGGCTGTAGGCAGCTGTACAGACCATCTATCAGGGCTGTAGGCAGCTGTACAGACCATCTATCACGGCTGTAGGCAGCTGTACAGACCATCTATCACGGCCTTAGGTAGCTGTACAGACCATCTATCACGGCTGTAGGCAGCTGTACAGACCATCTATCACGGCTGTAGGCAGCTGTGCAGACCATCTATCAGGGCCTTAGGCAGCTGTGCAGCTAGGGTTGGCTTTCCCACTGGCTTTTGTCCCGGGTATTCCATGGAGTGACATGTACACTCTATGTGAGGTTGTTTTCAATGGACTCACAGCTGCTACCTATAATCTAGTCTATCCACATCCCTCTGCTGTTCCCATCCATCTGTAAAAGCATGATTGAATGGTTCTGAAAAAGTGAGTGAGTCTGCAGGTGAGCTTCTCTGGCACCAAGGCCTCCGCACTCAAGTCACATCTCCAGATAGTAGCTAGTTGCGTATTGTTCCAGACAACAGAATGAGTCATTTCTTATTCGTCCTTCAAAGTTTTGTTATTCTAGTGTTCTCTGTGGCCGATATGGTGGCATTTGTTTTAGAGAAAGTCGTGGAGGACAAACCTTCCATTAATTGTCCTGTGCGTTCCATTAATTATCCTGTGTGTGTGTGTGTGTGTGCACGCCTGCGTGTGTGTATGTATGTGTGCATGCTTGTGTGTGTTCATGATTGTTTGTGTGTGTGTGTGTGTGTGTGTGTGTATGTTTGGTGTGTGTGTGTGTATGTTTGGTGTGTGTGTGTATGTTTGGTGTGTGTTTGTATGTTTGGTGTGTGTGTGTGTGATTCAATCATTGACCTCTATTATCTCCAAGGGGAGATAGGGTGCAATATCTGAAAACAAACCAATTAAACTTGCTCATCTGTATATAGTATGATATGCATACAGGGCCAATCTCAGTGTGGTCAACTATGACCGTTTATGACTAAGTAGGAAGCAGCAGTGTTGTGTTCGAGATCACCTAAAGCGAGACTGATTCAAGATCAATACCGGAACAAATTCGAGTCCAAGTCAAGACCAAGACCGAAGGGGGGGTGAGACCGAGTCAAGACCGAGACCGGGAGGGGGAAAAGGGGTCAGAGACAGTCAAGACTGAGACCAGAAAAATGCGAGTCCAATTCAAGACCATGATTGTAATGACAATTTAAAATGTCCAGTATTTCTGTGTTCATATTTCAGAACAACAAATGGATGGATTCTTTAGACATTCAGAATAGTGAAAAAATGCATGCTGAGGGAAAATAGAGCCACTCTACAAATTATTACTAACCCAAACACAGTGGGGAACAATGGGCCTTCTACGCCTTCAGAGAAGGGCTAAGGATTTATACAATTATTATTATTATTATATAATAATAATGATAGTATTATTTTCAATTATGTTCTGATTTAATCTCTTCCGTTTTTGTTGGAAAGAAAAGGGTTATGTTATGTTGCGTCAATTCGAATCTGGTATAGGAACAAAAAGAGGTGAACACACGTCTTTTAAGATATACTAGTATTTTAATTAATGCAAACACTTGAATGGTAAATATGATGGTCGTATATACGGGCCCACTGAAAAACCACGCAGGGCAGACAGAGAACTGAGCTATTGTTATAAGTTCTTCTTTAAATACTCTGACAGAGATAGTTCCCGCTCCCTGCTGGGCCTGTCAGAATAGAGGCTGGGTGTGGTTTGAACTTACCCAACCTATCGTTGGCGCTCAGGCTGGTCCCAGCCCCTTGGCGCTTCACTGTTGCCTGGCATTAGTTGTTATCTTTACAACTTGTCTCGAGTCAGCAACCTCAGACATAGTTTGTTCTTCTTCATTGTAGCAGTACACATGTCCTTGAGCAGTTTAACAAAGAGGCAGTGTGTGTGTGTGTGAGTCACAAGCCTGTCTCAGCCTACCCCCTAACGGTTCCTCACATTAATCACAGCTTGTTATGTTAAACAATCTATATCAGTACAGCACAAACCTATTATGTTTAATCATTAATGTATTCTTTCTAAGCTAGGCATCACATCTAGTTATAAGAAAATAGATCCCCACAGTTAACACTGATGGTCTCTGGGAAAATAAATCTAGCTAGCTAAGTCAGCCATAGGCTAGGCCATCAGAAGCTAAATAAAGGCATCTGCCATTCAACTGTATTTGGGCAAAATGTTGGAGTGACAGTGGAATCAACCAATCACATTTTGACTTAATGGGTGGGGCCATTTTTACAAACACTTATGGAAACGTCTGCCTTCTTGAAGGACAACAGGTCACCGCGCAGTAGCGAACAATAGTTTTCTCACGGTCTAGCTAGCTAGCTTTTGTTGTCGGCTATTTTGCAGCGGCTTCAGCAGGTGCTATCAAAGAGGATGTTGTTGCTAATTTGTTAGCTTCTTCCTTTTCAAGAATAACTTTCAACAAGAAGTTAAGTTTTAAATGATCATCTGGTGAGTGGAACTGTGTTTTTTCTATTGCAGCGGCGCTTGCTGTTGCTAGCCATCTCTTAGAAAATATTTTGTGTGTGTGAAACATTGTTGCATTTAATGTGGAACTGAAAGCATTTTAGCAACATGAAATCTTATTAATATCTGTTCATATACACCCCCAGGAAGAATGACACTTTTTAAAAATCATTTTCTGACAAGCGACCACTTAGATATGGTCATTTTCACGTTTTCATAAATTCTTAGAATGTTTGGAAATTACGTATACTAAGGCATTTGTGAAAATTCTTTAGTAATATAGAGTGGGAAAGCGGCTGTGCGTTTGGACAATTAATAGACACTGCAGTAAATAAAACCGATTAAAAACATCTGTCTTGTCCAGGACTTGAGTCTACACAGACCGGTGCGCTATAGCCAATAAGAGCTACATTAGGCCTTCATACGAACAAGCCATTTACCACACGGGCCTGCCATCATTCACTTTGAACTGCGTGTTTTACAGGCAGTTGCAACAGCGTGACTTTAGATCATTAGAAAGCGTTCGCCAAAAGCCACAAAATACACCTGAATGGATTTCTGCAAATATGTAAACACCACGGGAGTCCTCTTACATTTAAGGACCTTTTACAGTCCTATTGATCAAACAACCATGAAAAGGTAGGCTCTCTCTCCCTCAGTTATGGACATCAACAACTAATGCTAGCCAGAGCAAGATGAGCTAAATATCTAACGACGGAACATTAGATAAACCCTCTCAAACTTTTTCAGCTAGTTGGCCGTCAAAATTGCACTGATAAATGATGGGATGGGGAATTGTAGCCTCCTCGTCCTTCTGCAGCTTGCCTGCCAATGCATGCTTGTCCAAACCAAGCACCCAAGCTAACTGACTAAAGTTTGCTAGCTTGCTAGCAGTGTTGCCAACTTAGCGACTTTGTCGCTATATTTAGCGAGTTTTCAGACCCCTCTAGCGACACATTTTCAAAAAAGCGACTAGTGACAAATCTAGTGACTTTTTCTGGTGTTATTGGAGACTGAAAGCACGTATCGTTCTTACTCTTCTCAACGAGCAGCAGGTGCTGCCGTGGCGTGGGCTCCACCCCCGTCCCAAAGCACTCACAGGCGGCCCAGTCCTCACGCAGCAGTCCCTCCCAGCTGCAGTCAGAGCAGGAGATGTTCACCCCTCCGCGTCCAGACTGCAAATGAATCGCGCATGCGGGAAGCCACCGCTGGCTGATCCCGCCCTGGCTTACATTCAGGGCGGGATGTAAATGTAGGGTGTTTTTTACTCACTTTTTGTCTCTCCCACAACGTTATTCCTCTCTCCTACAGCGTCCATCACAATTACATGCACATTGCCAATTATGCAAATTAGGTGATGACGTCATTTAGCGACTTCTAGCGACTTTTAGGACAGCCAATAGCTACTTTCCTTACTGAGGAGTTGGCAACACTGCTTGCTAGCTAGCTACTTCCAGACACAAATGAGAGAACATCTCACTCTGACCATTTTACTCGCCCTAGCAGAGCTGGTTAGCTATGCTGTTTACATGTTATCTAGAGCGTTCTTGACTAACTATAACTTTTTTTGCCTATGTTTACTGACACCGGTCATATTTAACGGGTGTTGCGCGTTCGTAAATTCATCAGTTCTGCGCTCTGGCACACTCAGACGAGAGTGCTCTGAAATCCCAGATAACCAGAGTAAATTTGCGAACGCAAGAGATATGCTAACTGGATAACATTCGTTCAAGTTCTTGCAAGCTAACCAAATGACACCTGCATTTCTAGCTGTGTATAGCCACCGAAAAACTATATGAAGGGAGAAAGTCAGTCACTCACCCACTCCTCCAATGGCATGACATGACATCCTCCTGGCAGTTAGCTAGCTATCTAGCTAACATTAGGCTCTGTGTTTTTAGCTTACTACATAAATAGATATGCTAGCCTATTAGCCATGTTATGACTGACTTGTGATCATTGCCCTTGCTAGTTTGATTGTATTGACATTCCCAGCTTTAGTTACATTCATCCGTTTTTTGTCCAGAATATTGAGTCATTGAAACTGAAACAGTGCATCCCGAATGGAGGCAGCAAACAATGTACCAGGCCAGCTGTGATTTACAACCTGATAGCAATATTTTTTGGACTAGCAAGAAATGTATTGGTGAATTATATTAATCATGAACTGCATCCATCTATTCTGCCAACAATGCCTTAGTGTACGTCATGGAATGTTGAGTCAAATATAACCTATTTTTAAAACCTCTTATAAAGATGGTTTTGTAGCATAAACTGGGAATGGTATTTTTGACTGATATTATGATTGTCTGTTTGTTTCATATCTGCAAAGTAGTTAAAACGCTGTCAGTTCCACTTTAGGTCAGTGGTTACTTTGTGCTAAACGTGAAATGTTGTTTGCAGAGGGAAGTAATAGTTGTACATTTCGATTCTTATGATTGGGACCTACTGGCTTATTAGGTCGGAGTTTATGGACTGCTTATCCTTTAACAACATCATGCTGTGTCTGACTGCTGTCTTTCCATCGGCCCTATGTAGTGGTGTAGTGGTGCCTGGAGAAGCGGGTATACTCCAATTTTGCCAAAAAGTTCCCAAATGTGCCGCCCAGCGAAGGAAGAGCACCCTATGTGAAAGATCCTGTGTTTTCCTATGTTTTTTTAACACGTTTTCCTATTGATTTTTCAGATTTTCACTCTAAAATGGACAAAAGTTAGATGGTCTAAGTCTACAACAATGCTTAAACCACATCAATCTGATTGGGTGGGCCTGTCAGGGCCTGGCTCCCCAGTGGGTGGGCCTTTGTCCACCCAGCCCCATCTATGTCTACGCCCCTGATGCAAACAGCTCATGATGACAATTGCTCATCACAAATAGCCTACTAACCAACACGTCGACTAAACTTTTTCAATACCTAGTTTTCATACCCATTGTTGCCTTAGTTTGCATTTACTGGTATCATAAGTGGAAACGTCTTTACTACCCTTCCGTCATTCTTCTGTGAGCTGCTCCATGCCAAAACCAGTTGAGAGCTGCACACTCTTGCTGCCTGCAAATGATATTCCGCTGAAACTAGGCTATGTGTGCAGTGCGCATGTGAATATATTTCACGTGCTTTGCGATTGTGTAGGCTATTTTGTGCATGATTTCTCTATTGTACTACATAATTGATAAGTCGTATACCTCCACTACAGTACTTTGATCCGCATCAATAGGGATTAAGAGGTGAGTATACGCAATGCCCACTGAAAAGAATACCTGTGCTACACCACTGGCCCTTTTGTGTTTTACAAAAAGTGCAGTCTCCTACATGAGTGCGCTGGTATTACGGTTGCTGTCCTTTCAGAATCACGAACCTGTCACACACTGAAGGCATATAGGTTCACCACTGCGCAAACATGTCTATTAAGGCTTTTAAGATATTAATGTTTCAAGAAAGATGTGTATATATTTGGCCTGGCGAAGCGGTTTTATGCGCTGACTGAATGGAAGCTGATAATTATTATTTTTGTACTCCGCTGGCATCGATATTAGTCAAACATTTATTCTAGTCTCAAAATTGACTACAAAGTGTAAATAGGATAATTCTGGTCATAAAGTCAGTCTTTGTAGGTGAGTTTGTCATGACTTACTTGAGGATAGGGTTTTGATTTCGACAATGCTCACTTGCCCTCTAAACACAGGATATGCAGAACACACAGACAGTGAGACACACCTGCCCAGCAGCACAGTGGATCTGACTTTGTTTACATAAGACAACAGGTCGTAAAAAATGTTACTTGAGAAATACTGCACCAAATACCTTAGCTGGATGTAAAATTGCGTGACTAAAACCTCGGCAAAAACGTACAGAAAAATTAGATTTATTTTGAGGTATCTTATATTCATTCTAAAGTAATTCTGGCTTTGTTCTATGGTGTCTCATGTGGGACAAACATCAGTAACTGCCACATTGAATCACACCCCCAATACTGACATTTTGTTTTTCACAATGAGCAACAGAGAAACGCATGCAGAATTGGTGCATTGAGTCACTCTTTAAGACAAAAGGATAAGCTATTTTCTTAGCACACTGTCTTTCTATACATCTGTGGTTGATAGATTTTGCCCACACAAACACACCTATATGGGGAGACTGGGATGGGTCAGTACCTGCTGCATACTGTACTGTTAGAGACGCAATGATTCATAGATATACATTGCATTCCCATGCAGCCAATACAGTATACATTGGGTAACTTAGCAAACACATTTGGTTAGGAAATTGTGAAGTTGTATCAGGTTGCCAGATGTAATGTCAAATATGGGGACAGGATCAGGATGGAGCAGGGTGGTAATTAGTGAGCTGGATGGTGGATGGATTAAATTAAGAGAATATTAGATTAGGAATATGAAGGTGGGATTATTGTATTATTATTTTCATCAAAGGGCTCATTTGCATTTTTGTCTAGTTGATCTCTCTCTTATTCTCCTCTTTCGATCTCTCCCTCCCTGCCCCTCTTCTCTATCTCTCTCTCTCGCTGTCCCTTTCTCTGTCCCTCTCTCTCCCTCTCCCCCTCTCTCTGTGATGACTACATCATGCAGAGAGTTGGTTTTCGGAGGTTGTCTGTCTATGTCCAACCTCTCCTCCTATAGCTTCACTGCAGAGCTGGAGATTCATCGGTCAGCCCTGTCAGCCCTCTCTCTGACTGACATGATGAAGGCTCTTCATAAAGGACAAAGACAGGGAATGAAAGATGGGGATCTCTGAGGGATTCTGCCCAGTGTAAAAGTGATTATTGAAAACACACACAGGAGAGCCAGGACCATGGAAATATAATTCTATTTTTATTGGTCAGGACGAGCACACGCACACACAGAGACACACGCAGAGACATTTGTTACATTTGAATCCTAGAGAGGCTCCAGGAGGTTCTCCCTCACACACGCTCTTTGTTTCTCATTGCTCCGAGGAAGATCATTACATGCAACTAATCACCTAGGCTATGGCCCTTTTTAGCTTTCAGTCAATAGATTGTTTATGAGGTACATAAAATCAGACAAACAGAAAATAACTTAAACTGGAAGCAAGTTTTTCATCATTGTCCCTGAAACTGTGATGCTTCATCTGTTATTTCAGACTATGTCTGGAGATTGTGTACTGCTGTGTGAAATTGAGTTTTTCTCCTTTTAAAGTCTTCTCAGATTATTTTTTTCAAATAAATCTTTATGACATTGATTTTGTTTCTTACCTTGGTCCGTTGATTACACATTTTCCATTCAGGATGAAGGGTAGAATCAAAGCGGGGGAAAAAGTGTTCTTACCACCCGTTGCCATGGTAACTAGACATGTTGAGCAGACATGTTTTTAGGATTTCCAGACATGGGATATTTTTTTGTTGTTGCAAGGTGTGAAGAAAAAAATGGGCCTTTTAGAAACGCATTGCATGCAATTCTATGTCATTTACATGATAGAAGACTTTAGCAGAATATTTTTTTATACACTACATGACCAAAAGTATGTGGACACCTGTTTGTCGAACATCTAATTCCAAAATCATGGGCATTAATATGGAGTTGGTCCCCCCTTTACTACAGTTCTTGTGCTGACGTTGCTTCCAGAGACAGTTCGGAAATCAGTAGTGAGTGTTGCATCCGAGGACAGATGATTTTTTGCGCGCTACGCGCTTCAGTACTTGGCGGTCCCGTTCTGGGAGCTTGTGTGGCCTACCACTTCGCAGCTGAGCCATTGTTGCTCCTAGAAGTTTCCATTTCACAATAACAGCACAAACAGTTGACCGGGGCAGCTCTAGCAGGGCAGAAATTTGACGAACTGACTTGTTGGAAATGTGGAATCCTATGACGGTGCTACATTGAAAGTCATTGAGCTCTACAGTAAGGCCATTCTACTGCTAATGTTTGTCTATGGAGATTGCATGGCGGTGTACTCGATTTTATACACCTGTCAGCAACGGGTGTGGTTGAAATAGCCGAATCCACTAATTTGAAGTGGTGTCCACATACTTTTGGCCATGTAGTGTAGCACACAAAGGGCCAAATGCAGGCTACTGTGGAACTCATTATTCAGGTAGGATGCCATTTTGGAACTTTTTATTTTATTTTCGTATTTATAATCATTTGTTTTATTATTATTGTATATCATTGTTATTATTGTAGCCTATTTAAAAATCTAAACCAGTTCTTTAAATATGCAAAACGTGTTTTGTTTAATTCTGTTGAGACATTTGTGGTTAAATTACGTTTTTGAAATGTGTGCTCCATTTTTAGATAGGTTATAGTAGGCCATTTGTAAAATTAATATCATTAGCCTATTGCTGTCATTTGTTGGGTACGGTAGGCACTAGCCTTTCTTGGTAATTGCTGCAATATAGCCTGTTCAAAACTTTTGTGAAGGTTTAAACTAGTTCGCAGGTGTTATGTTTCATTCTGTTGAGCCATTTGAAATGGCTGAAATGTTGTGTTTGCCGCGATAAAATATCCTGCTTGTATTTTCCATATAAACAATGGCTTGACTTACTTTTGACATTACCCTAATAAAGTTTAGAAACATTTGTGAAGGTTTGGTGTGATGTGGCTATTAGCCTATTATACTGTTTTTCTAACTGAGTTCACTTTGCTTGCTTTCAGATGTGACATATCTCCCTGAGAGAGTGGTGGCCAGCTTTGGAGACAGCGTGACCGTGTACTGCGTGTTCAACGACCTCACGGTGAACGCCAGCACCACGGTCTGGATTCGGAACTCCCGTGACCGCCTGCCTAAGAGCCAGTACACTGCGGTCAACGACCGTGTCAGTAAGATAACGGTTCGACCATCGGAGCAGAGACTGTCTGACACCCTGCATTGCTGCCAGCCTTTAGGGGAGACGTATAGCTGTAACTACCGCTACGCAACGATATATATTAAAGGTGAGCTGGGATGATGGGAGGATGCATGGATGGATGTCAGGGTTTGGATGTATGTCAAGGCTTGGATTGATATAGGGTTGGGATTGGGTTAGCGTTAGACCTCAGGAAATGTATTTAGTTTGATGTAGATTCTCTGTGTGTTTCAGATCCGGTCATTGATATCAGCTGTGTGACCAATGGGGATCTGGACAGCATGACCTGTAGGTGGAACAACCTACCTGTAGGTGGAATCAACTTCCTGTCCAGGTAAACACTACTTACAGCATTGGGCACATACACCTCTACAACCTACACCTCTACAACCTACACATACACCTCTACAACCTACACCTCTACAACCTACAACCTACACATACACCTCTACAACCTACACATACACCTCTACAACCTACACCTCTACAACCTACACAAACACCTCTACAACCTACACATACACCTCCACAACCTACACCTCCACAACCTACACCTCTACAACCTACACATACACCTCTACAACCTACACCTCTACAACCTACACATACACCTCTACAACCTACACCTCTACAACCTACACCTCTACAACCTACACCTCTACAACCTACACCCTACACATACACCTCTACAACCTACACCTCCACAACCTACACCTCCACAACCTACACCTCCACAACCTACAACCTACACATACACCTCTACAACCTACACCTCCACAACCTACACCTCCACAACCTACAACCTACACATACACCTCTACAACCTACACATACACCTCTACAACCTACACATACACCTCTACAACCTACACATACACCTCCACAACCTACACCTCCACAACCTACACCTCACAACCTACACATACACCTACAACTACACATACACCTCACAACACAAACACAACCTACACCTACACATACACCTCTACAACCTACACATACACCTCTACAACCTACACATACACCTCTACAACCTACACATACACCTCTACAACCTACACATACACTTCTACAACCTACACATACACCTGTACACGTACAGTACCAGTAAAAAGTTTGGACACACCTACTCATTCATGGGTTTTTCTTTATTTTGACTATTTTCTACATTGTAGAATAATAGTGAAGACATCAAAACTATGAAATAACACATATGGAATCAATTAGTAACCAAAAAAGTGTTAAACAAATCAAAATATATTTTATATTTGAGATTCTTCAAAGTAGCCACCCTTTGCCTTGATGACAGCTTTGCACACTCTTGGCATTCTTTCAACCAGCTTCATGAGGAATACTTTTCCAACAGTCTTGAAGGAGTTCCCACATATGCTGAGCACTTGTTGGCTGATTTTCCTTCACTCTGCTGTCCAACTCATCCCAAACCATCTGAATTGGGTTGAGGTCGGGGGATTGTGGAGGCCAGGTCATCTGATGCAGCAGTCCATCACTCTCCTAGGTCAAATAGCCCTTACACAGCCTGGAGGTGTGTTTGGGGTCATTGTCCTGTTGAAAAACAAATGATAGTCCAACTAAGTGAAAACCAGATGGGATGGTGTATCACTGCAGAATGCTGTGTTAGCCATGCTGGTTAAGTGTGCCTTGAATTCTAAATAAATCACTGACAGTGTCACCAGCAAAGCACCCCCACACCATCACACCACCTCCTTCGTACTTCACGGTGGGAACCACACATGCTGAGATCATCCGTTCACCTACTCTGCATCTCACAAAGACACGGCGGTTGGAACCAAAAATCTCAAATTTGGACTCATAGGACAGATTTCCACTGGTCTGATGTCCATTGCTCGTGTTTCTTGGCCCAAACAAGTCTCTTCTTATTATTGGTGTCCTTTAGTAGTGTTTTTTTTGCAGCAATTCGACCATGAAGGCCTGATTCAAACAGTCTCCTCTGAACAGTTGATGTTGAGATGTGTCTGTTACTTGAACTCTGTGAATCATTTATTTGGGCTGCAATTTCTGAGGCTGGTCCTCATGAGAGCCAGTTTCATCATAGCGCTTGATGGTTTTTGCGACTGCACACTTGAAATGTTCCGTATTGACTGACCTTCATGTATTAAAGTAATGATAGACTGTCGTTTCTCTTTGCTTATTTGAGCTGTTCTTGCCATAATATGGACTTGGTCTTTTACCAAATAGGGCTATCTTCTGTATACCACCCCTACCTTGTCACAACACAACTGATTGGCTCAAACGCATTAAGAAGGAAAGAAATTCCACAAATTAACTTTTAACAAGGCACACCTGTTAATTGTAATGCATTCCAGGTGACTACCTCATGAAGCTGGTTGAGAGAATGCCAAGAGTATGCAAAGCTGTCATCAAGGCAAAGGGTGGCTACTTTGAAGAATCTCAAATATAACATATATTTTGATTTGTTTAACACTTTTTTTGGTTAATACATGATTGAATATGTGTTATTTCATAGTTTTGATGCCTTCACTATTATTATACAATGTAGAAAATATTAAAAATAAAGAAAAATCCTGGAATGAGTAGATGTGTCCAAACTTTTGACTGGTACTGTATTGTTAAAGTGACTATTGGTTATCTTATGATTAAAAGCAGTGTATTAGAGCATTTGAAATACAGGAGGATCTTATATTTGGCTCTTTGTTAAAGATGCATTATACATAAATTGCTCTGACATTTCCTGGTTGATACGATTTTAATAGTTTGCCAAACAGGCAAAGCGATATGTGCACAATATCTAAGGAAGTCTCAAGGTTTTGCTCGTCTGAGGTAGAGTATCTCATGATAAGCTGTAGACCACACCATCTTTTTTATATCTTTTTTTATTTTATTTCACCTTTATTTAACCAGGTAAGCCAGTTGAGAACAAGTTCTCATTTACAACTGCGACCTGGCCAAGATAAAGCAAAGCAGTGCGATAAAAACAACAACACAGAGTTACATATGGGGTAACCAAAACATAAAGTCAAAGATACAACAGAACATATTGCAGCTTTAAATGTTGACACCTTTTCAGTGTCTCTGCTTGGTGTCTCTGATGTATTCCTAAGAAATACAGAGTGGGAGTTGGTTCAGGATCATGGAACAATACAGAACAGATTTAACCCCCTCAAGTGCAGCCTGGTGTCTAAGACTAGGCGTAACATAGTAAATGTAAGTCCGGGACACTCAAATTAGAATGATATGTGACCGACCACCTCGATTCAGTCTTATGTTGCGAAATTTGAAATTTGTGTTTTTGCCATTGGATAAAAGTAGAGACTCAGAGCTTCAAAATGGTAGATCGTACACTGCAGTTGAGGAACAATGGGAAAGTAATCCTGCTTTGAAAGTTGATAAAGTTGTTACCCCATTTTCGAGAAAATGGCTCTTGAATGTTTTGGTACACCTACTGGAGAGATCTTCTTTGTCTACCCATCTCTTTAAGGATTCACATGTAATACCATGTGCTAATTAGAGTGAGTAAGGTAGTGTAGTAAACAACCAAAGATTTCAAGACTAAAAGTGGTGAAAGTAGTAGCCTGCAATAAGAAAAAAAAACAGGTAAAAATACACTTTATCTAGTCCTATATCCTAAGCTGACTTTGGTGTAGGTCGTGTTGTTCTTCACATTACCATCTCTGGTAAACACACACTATATCAAATAAAATCAAACTATGTGTCACATGCACAGGATACAGAAGGTGTAAATGGTGCTCTGAAATGGGTTCAGATGCAAATATTTTATACATATTTTACCCAGACACACTTGTATAAATTGATGGGTCATGTGAAATAAATGCTATAATGAGCTAGCTAAACAATGAACCATAATCCCAACCTATACAATACTACTAGCACTACAAACAGATTGTCATAGCTAGCCACCATGCATACAATGCAAAGGGCTTTCTGAGATACAAATAATATTACTACACAGATCATACATGTAACGTTAGCTAGCGAGCCAGCATGCTAACGTTTGGTAGCTAGCTAACAGTACGCTTTAACTTGCAATTAAAATTCTAACAAAATTAGAAACGTGTATCTGAAAATGTAGCTAGACTTACCCGTATACATGGATGAATGCTTCACGGCAGACTAGAAGGCCTTTACCTAAGTACGTCCTGTATTGTTTCCATTTTGTTTGTACAGCTTGTTTGGCCCGCATTGTCTCAAGTCACTTCGGTTTACACTGACCGTGTGCAGAAAATAGTCCATCACAACTTTTTCCACACTGATCTTTGTTGATAGCGCCTGCTAAATTCAGGGCAGCAATGTTGTTAGAGCAGTAGCAACACTTTTGCAGTTCTCTATGGCTAATGTTATATATTTAATAAATGCTGCGGTAGCAAGGATTATCTACACATACTGAGCAGCTCATGTTATAGAAAGACTCATGCTACATGGCAGACCAATCCAAACTCCTCTCTCGGCATGTCCAGCCCACGATTATCTCAGCCAATCATGTCTAGTGGGAAGGTTCCTGTCTTTTTCATAATTTAACAATTGTATTCATATTTACAGATGGCATGCAAGTTTGTTATTAAGGCACATGAATGTTCACATGTTCCAGAAGGCATTTCTGCCCAAACAAAACGCATTTTGATAAATATATTTTCTTTTTACATTCAAGTGCCTTCTCTGTGAAGTAGTGACGTGGACATAAGCCTAACTTTCTGAAACGGGTTACATGAGACAGTTTGCAATTCGTAACAAATTGTACGAATTGCAATTCGTAACAAATCGTACGAATTGCAATTGGTACTGGAACATATCATACGAAATGTATGATGGACATCCACAAATTAACATTAACATCCCATACGAAACGTAACATATAATACTAAATGGAGAGACAGATATACTTTACTATGTTACATCTACCCCTGAGTGCAGGTTGTCAAGCAAAATGTAAATGACTGTGTGTGTGTAATTTGTGAATTATTGCTGTGATTTCAAAACTCAGGCAGTGAAAGGAAGTGTAGAAGTTTAGACTTGTTGCATACCATAGACTATGATATAGATCATACATACCCAGAAGTGGTAAGGGCGTTTTCACCCTGACGTTCTTTGTGTGTATGCGTGTGTGTGTCTGTTAAATTCTCCAGGGTGGCCGACCTGTCCTGTGACGTCATGGAGGAGGCGGAGAGGGTGGGCGGGCCAGTGGGTGTGGTCAGGCAGGCGAAGTGTGAATCCAGCAGCTCTAGGGGAGTGAAGAGCTGCAATCTGCAGCCAATCAGAGTGACTTCCTGCTACAAGCTGTGGATGGAGGCCAAGACAGACAACGGCACGAGGTCACATCCTGTCTACATCACACCTATGGAACACGGTGAGTTAGGACCAGTATAGGAGTTCTGGTCTTGTTACATTTATTTTCTTACATGTTGTGGCTTTTTGGAACCTACAGCACCTGTATGTGTTAATAATAATAATAAGTCTTTTTTTCTTTTCTTTTTTTTTTTACATTTTATATAGCTTTCAGTCTGCTTGACCAGGCTACATAATGACTGTCCTCTCCCTTCCTTGCCTCTCCCCTTCTAGTGAAGCCCCATCCTCCCTCAGGCCTTGAGGCAGTAAGCATGCCCAGTGGGGTCCTAAAGCTGGCGTGGGTGCCCCCAGAACTGCCCCTCTACGATATGCAGTACCAGGTCCGCTATGCCCTCTCCACTGGCAGGGCCCATCCATTCTGGCAGGTACGTAGGGCTCTTGCCATAGTGCTCTGGTCAAAAGTAGTGCACTATGTAGGGATCATCAACTAGATTCAGCCGCGGTCCGTCTTATTCATGAGTGGATGCTCAGGGGGCCAGAACACAATTACTAATAATTTGTAGACTGCAAATTGACTGCATGAAGCCCAAACAGATATAATATTTCACTAAAACATAATAATTTCAAACCTTGCTTGCATTCGTATACGATCAGATATATCTCTCTATTATGCGTGGGAATACTTTGGAACAGATTTCCAATATAAAAATAAATTGGAGCTGATTTGCTGGTGTTTTTACAGTCTTCTATGTCCAAATAAAATCACTGGCGGGCCAAATCCGGCCCATGGGCCGCTAGTTGGGGAACCCTGATGTAGGGTGCCATTTCGGATGCAGCCTTGAGCTCATCTAGAGTGGCAAGGAGGGAGCAACAGGTACAACTGCCTGGCCATGAGCATCAGCTGGTCGGGCATAAAGTCTCACTTTTCTATCTATCTCTGATCTAGGAGTGGCATTATTTGCCCTAAAATACATGGCATTTACTGGTGGCTTGAGGCAGAATACGTTATTTTAATAAAACCTCTGATTTAAAACTTTTGGTGGGCAGATGAGAATATTTAGGTTAATATATTTTCTTTCTAAAATGTGCCCACTTTCGTTGGGTGCATGAGTATTTTGGAAATCTTTCCTCCATTCAAAATGTTTTAAGACATACAGTATACACTATACATATGGAAAATCCCGAGTGGCGCAGTGGTCTAGAGATCCTGGTTCGAATCCAGGCTCTGTCGTAGCCGGCCGCGAACGGGAGACCCATGGGGCGGCGCACAATTGGCCCAGCGTCGTCCAGGGTAGGTGAGGGAATGGCCGGCAGGGATGTAGCTCAGTTGGTAGAGCATGGTGTTTGCAACGCCAGGGTTATGGGTTCGATTCCCACGGGGGGCCAGTATGAAAAATAATGTATGCACTCACTAACTGTAAGTCGCTCTGGATAAGAGCGTCTGCTAAATGACTTAAATGTAAAATGGAAAGTGTTCAGACCCCTTGACCTTTTCCACATTTTGTTACGTTAGTCTTATTCTAAAATTGATTACAAAAATATATACAGTGGGGAAAAAAAGTATTTAGTCAGCCACCAATTGTGCAAGTTCTCCCACTTAAAAAGATGAGACAGGCCTGTAATTTTCATCATAGGTACACGTCAACTATGACAGACAAAATGAGATTTTTTTTCTCCAGAAAATCACATTGTAGGATTTTTAATGAATTTATTTGCAAATTATGGTGGAAAATAAGTATTTGGTCAATAACAAAAGTTTCTCAATACTTTGTTATATACCCTTTGTTGGCAATGACACAGGTCAAACGTTTTCTGTAAGTCTTCACAAGGTTTTCACACACTGTTGCTGGTATTTTGGCCCATTCCTCCATGCAGATCTCCTCTAGAGCAGTGATGTTTTGGGGCTGTCGCTGGGCAACACGGACTTTCAACTCCCTCCAAAGATTTTCTATGGGGTTGAGATCTGGAGACTGGCTAGGCCACTCCAGGACCTTGAAATGCTTCTTACGAAGCCACTCCTTCATTGCCCGGGCGGTGTGTTTGGGATCATTGTCTTGCTGAAAGACCCAGCCACGTTTCATCTTCAATGCCCTTGCTGATGGAAGGAGGTTTTCACTCAAAATCTCACGATACATGGCCCCATTCATTCTTTCCTTTACCCGGATCAGTCGTCCTGGTCCCTTTGCAGAAAAACAGCCCCAAAGCATGATGTTTCCACCCCCATGCTTCACAGTAGGTATGGTGTTCTTTGGATGCAACTCAGCATTCTTTGTCCTCCAAACACGACGAGTTGAGTTTTTTCCAAAAAGTTATATTTTGGTTTCATCTGACCATATGACATTCTCCCAATCCTCTTCTGGATCATCCAAATGCACTCTAGTAAACTTCAGACGGGCCTGGACATGTACTGGCTTAAGCAGGGGGACACATCTGGCACTGCAGGATTTGAGTCCCTGGCGGCGTAATGTGTTACTGATGGTAGGCTTTGTTACTTTGGTCCCAGCTCTCTGCAGGTCATTCACTAGGTACCCCCGTGTGGTTCTGGGATTTTTGCTCACCTTTCTTGTGATCATTTTGACCCCACGGGGTGAGATCTTGCATGGAGCCCCAGATCGAGGGAGATTATCAGTGGTCTTGTATGTCTTCCATTTCCTAATAATTGCTCCCACAGTTGATTTCTTCAAACCAAGCTGCTTACCTATTGCAGATTCAGTCTTCCCAGCCTGGTGCAGGTCTACAATTTTGTTTCTGGTGTCCTTTGACAGCTCTTTGGTCTTGGCCATAGTGGAGTTTGGAGTGTGACTGTTTGAGGTTGTGGACAGATGTCTTTTATACAGATAACAAGTTCAAACAGGTGCCATTAATACAGGTAACGAGTGGAGGACAGAGGAGCCTCTTAAAGAAGAAATTACAGGTCTGTGAGAGCCAGAAATCTTGCTTGTTTGTAGGTGACCAAATACTTATTTTCCACCATAATTTGCAAATAAATCCTACAATGTGATTTTCTGGATTTTTTTTTCTCAATTTGTCTGTCATAGTTGACGTGTACCTATGATGAAAATTACATGCCTCTCTCATCTTTTTAAGTGGGAGTACTTGCACAATTGGTGGCTGACTAAATACTTTTTTCCCCCACTGTATATTCATCATCAACGACAAAGCGAAAACAGGTTTTTAGAAATGTTAGCAAATGTATAAAATATAAAAACATAAATACCTTATTTACATAAGTATTCAGACCATTTGCTATGAGACTCAAAATTGAGCTCAGGTGCATCCTATTTCCATTGATCATCTTTGAGATGTTTCTACAACTTGATTGAAGTCCACCTGTGGTAAATTCAATTGATTGGACATGATTTGGAAAGGCACACACCTGTCTATATAAAGTCCCACAGTTGACGGTGCATGTCAGAGCAAAAACCAAGCCAAGAGGTTGAAGGAATTGTCCTTGAGCTCCGAGACAGGATTGTGTCGAGGCACAGATCTGGAGAAGGGTACCAAAAAATCTCTGCAGCATTGAAGGTCCCCAAGAACACAGTGGCCTCCATCATTCTTAAATGGAAGAAATTTGGAACCAACAAGACTCTTCTTAGAGCTGTCCGCCCTGCCAAACTGAGCAATCGAGGGAGAAGGGCCTTGATCAGGGAGGTGACCTAGAACCCGATGGTCACTCTGACAGAGCTCTAGAGTTCCTCTGTGGAGATGGGAGAACCTTCCAGAAGAACAACCATCTCTGCAACACTCCACCAATCAGGCCTTTATGGTAGAGACAGAAGCCACTTCTCAGTAAAAGGCACATGACAGCCTGCTTGGAGTTTGCCAAATGGCACCTAAAGGACTCTCAGACCATGAGAAACAAGATTCTCTTTTCTGATGAAACCAAGATTGAACTCTTTGGCCTGAATGCCAAGCGTCACATCTGGAGGAAACCTGGCACCATCCCTATGGTGAAGCGTGGTGGCAGCATCATGCTGTGGGGATTTTTTTCAGGGACTGGGAGACTAGTCAGGATTGAGGGAAAGATGAACGGAGCAAAGTACAGAGAGATTCTTGATATAAACCTGCTCCAGAGCACTCAGGACCTCAGACTGGGGCGAAGGTTCACCTTCCAACAGGACAACGACCCTAAGCACACAGCCAAGACAATGCAGGAGTGGGTTCGGGACAAGTCTCTGAATGTCCTTGAGTGGCCCAGCCAGAGCCCAGACTTGAACACAATCGAACATCTCTGGAGATTCCTGAAAATAGCTGTGCAGTGACGCTCCCCATCCAACCTGACAGCGCTTGAGAGGATCTGCAGAGAAGAATGGGAGAAACTTCCCAAATACAGGTGTGCGAAGCTTGTAGCGTCATACCTAATAAGACTCGAGGCTGTAATCGCTGCCATAGGTGCTTCAACTAAGTACTGAGTAAAGGGTCTGAATACTTATGGAAATGTGATATTTCATTTTTTGTATTTTGATACATTTGCAGAAATGTCTAAAGTTGTTTTTGCTTTGTCATTTTGGGGTATTGTGTGTAGATTGATGAGGAAAAAAATCTATTTAATCCATTGTAGAATAAGGCTGTAACGTAACAAAGTGGAAAAAGTCAAAGGGTCTGAATGCTTTCCAGACTTTCCAAAAGTCTGTCGACACCCCTTCAAATTAGTGGATTCGGCTATATCAGCCACACCCGTTGCTGACAGGTGTATAAAATCAAACACACAGCCATGCAGTCTCCATAGACAAACATTGGCATTTACTGAAGGGCTCAGTGACTTTCAACATGGCACAGTCATAGGATGCCAACTTTCCAACAAGTCAGTTCGTCAACTTTCTGACCTGCTAGAGCTGCCCCGGTCAACTGTTAGTGCTGTTATTGTGAAGTGGAAATGTCTAGGAGCAACAACGGCTCAGCCGTGAAGTTGTAGGCCACACAAGTTCACAGAACAGGACCGCCGAGTTCTGAAGTGCATAGCGCGTAGAAATGCAACCCTCACTATCGAGTTCCAAACTGCTTCTGGAAGCAATGTCAGTACAATAACTGTTCGTCGGGAGCTTCATGAAATTGGTTTCCATGGCCGCACACAAGCATAAGATCACCATGCGTAATGCCAAGCGTTGGCTTGAGTGGTGTAAAGCTCACCGCCATTGGACTCTGGAGCAGTGGACTCTGTGGACTCTTGAGTGATAAATCAGGCTTCACCATCTGGCAGTCCAACGGACGGATCTGGGTTTTGGCGGATGCCAGGAGACCGCTACCTGCCCGAATGCATAGTGCCAACTGTAAAGTTTGGTGGAGGAGGAATAATGGTCTTGGGCTGTTTTTCATGGTTCAGGCTAGGCCCCTTAATTCCAGTGAAGGGAAATCTTAATGCTACAGCATACAATTACATTCTAGACGATTCTGTGCTTCCAACTTTGTGGCAACAGTTTGCGGAAGGCCCTTTCCTGTTTCAGCATGACAATGCCCCCGTGCACAAAGCGAGGTCCATACAGAAAGGGTTTGTCGAGATCGGTGTGGAAGAACTTGACTGGCCTGCACAGAGCCCTGACCTCAACCCCATCGCACACCTTTGGGATGAATTGGAACGCCGACTGCGAGCCAGGCTTAATCGCCCAACATCAGTGCCCGACCTCACTAATGCTCTTGTGGCTGAATGGAAGCAAGTCCCCGCGGCAATGTTCCAACCTCTAGTGGAAAGCCTTCCCAGAAGAGTGGAGGCTGTTATAGCAGCAAAGAGGGGACCAACTCCATATTAATGCCCATGTTTTGGAATGAGATGTTCGACGAGCAGGTGTCCACATAACTTTGTTCATGTAGTGTATTTTCCCAAAATCCGTTCATTTTTGAGTTAATGGATACATATTGATTTATTTTGAAGCTCTATTATTGTAAAATATATTATTCGGGGTAAATATGTGATTTAATTGGGATATGTTCCACAGGTCCTAGCTCCGCAGACTGAGTTGTGGGCTGAGGTTCCTGAACCAGATGTGTGTGGGGTGTACAATGTGCAGGTCCGCTGTGTGCACATCAACGGCTCCGGGACCTGGAGTGACTGGAGCCACTTGCTCTACACCACCCCTCACAACAGCAGAGGTACTGTCTTCCTCATCACTTCATCCATGTCATTTCACTTTTATTTATACAGGTTAGTCTCATTGCGATAAAAAATCTATTTTGCAAGAGAGACATGCAATGTATAGAAAAGTTTATTGCTGAGGTGTTTTGACAACATTGCTTCGACAAATTGCCTCTGAAACGCATCGACAAACTTTTGAACGGAATTTAGCTGCCGTCTTGAACCTTCCTTTACATATGCAGTTTTACAATGCTAGGACTGAGCACCCCTTCAGCGGTCCAGACAATAAAAATACTGGTTATAGCACCTCCAGCACACCACTACTATTAAGGTTGAACTTCTTTATACAAACGTACAGTACATTAGCTCTCACAACCACAATTACATTTACATTTACATTTACGTCATTTAGCAGACGCTCTTATCCAGAGCAACTTACAAATTGGTGCATTCAACTTATGATAGCCAGTGGGACAACCACCCTATTTTTATTTTTTAATTGGGGGGGGGGGGGGGTAGAAGGATTACTTTTATACTATTCCAGGTATTCCTTAAAGAGGTAGGGTTTCAAGTGTTATCCGGAAGTTGGTCAGTGACTCCGCTGTCCTGGCGTCGTGGGGGAGCTTGTTCCACCATTGGGGTGCCAGAGCAGCGAATAGTTTTGACTGGGCTGAGCGGGAACTGTGCTTCCGTAGAGGTAGGGGGGCTAGCAGGCCAGAGGTGGATGAACGTAGTGCCCTCGTTTGGGTGTAGGGTCTGATCAGAGCCTGAAGGTAAGGAGGTGCCGTTCCCCTCACAGCTCCGTAGGCAAGCACCATGGTTTTGTAGTAGATGCGAGCTTCAACTGGAAGTCAGTGGAGTGTGCGGAGGAGCGGGGTGACATGAGAGAACTTGGGAAGGTTGAACACCAGATGGGCTGCAGTGTTCTGGATAAGTTGTAGGGGTTTAATGGCACAGGCAGGGAGCCCAGCCAACAGTGAGTTGCAGTAATCCAGATGGGAGATGACAAATGCCTGGATTAGGACCTGTGCCGCTTTCTGTGTAGGGTAGGGTCGTACTCTGCGAATGTTGTAGAGCATGAACCTACAGGATCAGGTCACCGCTTTGATCTTAGCGGAGAACGACAGGGTGTTGTCCAGGGTCACGCCAAGGTTCTTTGCACTCTGGGAGGAGGACACAATGGAATTGTCAACCGTCATGGCGAGATCATGGAGCGGGCAGTCCTTCCCCGGGAGGAAGAGCAGCTCCGTCTTGCTGAGGTTCAGCTTTAGGTGGTGATCCGACATCCACACTGATATGTCTGCCAGACATGCAGAGATGCGATTCGCCACCTGGTTATCAGAAGGGGGAAAGGAGATGGGTCATTTCAAACCCTTCATTATCCATGGTTTGCTGTGTGTAAAACGCTCTTTCTGACCCTGATCTTAAATGAGAAGTTTGCTCTTTTACAACCAAATCTCTATTTTTGATCTAAATGGCATGTTATAGAAGGGTCCAGACACTTTTTTGTGATTTCACTTGTTTTTGAGAAACCTACCCCAACCAGCGATTCACTTCCTGATCCTCGTTGTGCGGTATGGGGGGTCTGAATAAACATGAACAAATGCTCCAAAAACACCCAAATACGTCCTTTTAGAAACTAAAACTCTCTGTATAGCGATGCAGGTCTTTAGACCTTTATCCGCAACATTATATTCCATTTTGTGCGACTCAAGCGTTTCCCCTATCCAGCGGTTCCATTTTTATGTGCTAAATGGCATATTATTATTATTATTATTATTATTATTATTATTATTATTATTATTATGTAGCCTGCTGCTAAATGGAAAATTACGTTCTGATAGAAAATTCAAGCCTCAGTCATACAGTAGGTACACGTGCACACACACACACACACACACACACACACACACACACACACACACACACAGCTGTAACATCTATATTCTGTTCTCTCAGCTCCTGACCAGGGTCCTGATTTCTGGCGAGTGTTTCAGGAGGATCCACCAAGTACGCAGACGAACGTCACTCTTCTCTTCGAGGTACAGTCCATAGCTTTCAGAGAACACATTACATGTCCTACAGTATGTGGTTTAAATGTCAACATCAGAGAGAGTTAGATTAATTGAACAGGTGTATCCTCTCCTTTTATTACGTCATTGTTCTTAGTTTATTCTGAAAATACTAGATGAGTCAGCGCAATATAGCAGTACTCGGTTGCCTTCCCCAACACCTTTATCAGATCAGAGAGTATAAGGAAGTAGCACATTGGATAATGAATCCTCGTTAGAGTCCTTGATAGTCTCTCAACTCTTCCCTCTCCTCTTCCCCATAGCATTCCCCCATAGTGGAGCCAACCTACTGTGTGGAGGCACTTGTAGTACAGCACCAGGACTCTGGGGGCACTGTAACTGAGGAGCAGATAGGCCTGGTGTCCTCCTATAGCTTTGAGTGGAGAGGGGAGGTCCACTCTGTGACAGTCAAGGCTCAGAACAGCCAGGGCTCTTCCACTAGGAACACCCACATGACCCTGGAGAGACACCCCAAACGTAAGTCACTGCTGAAAAATACACTGAATGGGAATGTACTGTATTTGTATGGGGCTGAAGGATTGTTATACCCAGTACACAGATTACTAGCATGCACAGATTACTAGCAGTCTAAATAGTTAGTAGTCAGAAATAAATATCTGGAAAAAAAGAAAATGTTATTTGAAAACTGCATGTTTGTTTTCCCAATTTAAATAACATATATATAGTTGGTGGTCTTGCTTTATGTCATAGTCAGTTGAAATGCTATGTTTCTGACTTCATGGTCATCAGTGGGAGATAACAGGCATGTTGGTCCCCACTGGGCATGCTCACTGCCTCAAGGCCCGAGAGGGCGAGGCTTCACTAGAGAGGGAGAGAAGAGGAAGGGTGAGGACAGCGGCAGGTAGCCTAGTGGTTAAGTGCTTTGGGCCAGTAACCAAAAGGTCGCTGGTTTGAATCCCCGAACAACTAGGTGAAAAATCTGTCGGTGTGCCCTTGAGCAAGGCACTTAACCCTAATTGCTCCTGTAAGTCACTCTGGATACGAGTGTCTGCTAAATGACTGGCGTCAGTTCAGCTAAACCTAGGGAATGGCAAAGTGGGGTGTGTAAAAATACACCCACCAGTTGAAGCTCATTTACTGTACTTCGACACCATTTTTTAACTCTAAAATGCTATTTGGAGAACAGCGAAAACAAACATGACATGGCTAAAGGACAATCAGACTTGTGAACCTAATCCTTAGCTGTGTATTGCCGCTTTCCATATTATCTGTTGTCTGTAGCTTGTGAGGTGTGGAAACATTTTGTTGCTTTTATGTATTTTGTTTTGTTGCTTTTTGTGCTATTGCTCTGTCTGCGTGCTAGGTGTTGCTTGTCCTATGTTGCTCTGTCTGTCTGCGTGCTAGGTGTTGCTTGTCCTATGTTGCTCTGTCTGTCTGCGTGCTAGGTGTTGCTTGTCCTATGTTGCTCTGTCTGTCTGCGTGCTAGGTGTTGCTTGTCCTATGTTGCTCTGTCTGTCTGCGTGCTAGGTGTTGCTTGTCCTATGTTGCTCTGTCTGTCTGCGTGCTAGGTGTTGCTTGTCCTATGTTGCTCTGTCTGTCTGCGTGCTAGGTGTTGCTTGTCCTATGTTGCTCTGTCTGTCTGCGTGCTAGGTGTTGCTTGTCCTATGTTGCTCTGTCTGTCTGCGTGCTAGGTGTTGCTTGTCCTATGTTGCTCTGTCTGTCTGCGTGCTAGGTGTTGCTTGTCCTATGTTGCTCTGTCTGTCTGCGTGCTAGGTGTTGCTTGTCCTATGTTGCTCTGTCTGTCTGCGTGCTAGGTGTTGCTTGTCCTATGTTGCTCTGTCTGTCTGCGTGCTAGGTGTTGCTTGTCCTATGTTGCTCTGTCTGTCTGCGTGCTAGGTGTTGCTTGTCCTATGTTGCTCTGTCTGTCTGCGTGCTAGGTGTTGCTTGTCCTATGTTGCTCTGTCTGTCTGCGTGCTAGGTGTTGCTTGTCCTATGTTGCTCTGTCTGTCTGCGTGCTAGGTGTTGCTTGTCCTATGTTGCTCTGTCTGTCTGCGTGCTAGGTGTTGCTTGTCCTATGTTGCTCTGTCTGTCTGCGTGCTAGGTGTTGCTTGTCCTACGTTGCTCTGCATGTGTTCACTGCTCATTGTTTGGTCTGTATTGTAATTGTTTTTAATAACCTGCCCAGGGACTGCGGTTGAAAATTAGCCGGTTGGCTAAAACCTGCACTTTTACTGAAACGTTGATTCATGTGCACTGTCCCTGTAAAAAGAAACTCAAACAAAAATGTCCCACAGACATTATCACCTCAATATTAGCTTTAAAGGTCTGTGGAATGGCGTCTACAATGTACTACTCAACCTCATCATGCAGTGCATTCGGAAAGTTTTCAGACCCCTTGACTTTTTCCACATTTTGTTACGTTACAGCCTTATTCCAAAACTGATTAAATTATTTCCCCCCCTCATCAATCTACACACAATACCCCAAAATGACAAAGCAAAAACTGGTTTGTAGAAATGTTTGCAAATGTATTAACAATAGAAAACTGAAATATCACATTTACATAAGTACTCAGTACTTTGTTGAAGCACCTTTGGCAGCGATTACAGCCTTGAGTCTTCTTGGGTATGACGCTACAAGCTTGGCACACCTGTATTTGGGGAGTTTCTCCCATTCCTCTCTGCAGGTTGGATGGGCAGTGTTGCTGCATAGCTATTTCCAGGTCTCTCCAGAGATGTTCGATCGGGATCAAGTCCGGGTTCTGGTTGGGCCACTCAAGGACATTCAGAGACTTGTCCCGAAGCCACTCCTGTGTTATCTTGGCTGTGTGCTTAGGGTCGTTGTCCTGTTGGAAGGTGAACCTTCACCCCAGTCTGAGGTCCTGAGTGCTCTGGAGCAGGTTTTCATCAAGGATCTCTCTGTACTTTGCTCCGTTCATCTTTCCCTCGATCCTGACTAGTCTCCCAGTCCCTGCTGCTGAAAAACATCCCCACAGCATGATGCTGCCACCACCATGCTTCACCGTAGGGATGGCGCCAGGTTTTCTCCAGATGTGACGCTTGGCATTCAGGCCAAAGAGTTCAATCTTGGTTTCATCAGACCAGAGAATGTTGTTTCTCATGGTCTGAGAGTTCTTTAGGTGCCTTTTTGGCAAACTCCAAGCGGGCTGTCATGTGCCTTTTTTACTGAGGAGTGGCTTCCGTCTGGCCACTCTACCATAAAGGCCTGATTGGTGTAGTGCTGCAGAGATGATTGTCCTTCAAGTTGTAGAAACATCTCAAGGATGATCAATGGAAACAGGATGCACCTGAGCTCAATTTCGAGTCTCATAGCAAAGGGTCTGAATACTTATGTAAATAAGGTGTTTTTGTTTTTTTATAAATGTGCAAAAATTTATAAAAACCTTTTTTCGCATTGTCATTATGGGGTATTGTGTGTAGATTGATGAGGATTTTTATTTTATTTAATCAATTTTAGAATAAGGTTGTAACGTAACAATGTGGAAAAAGTGAAGGGGTCCGAATGCACATAGGCTACATTGACTCATTTAGCCAACTTGTGGAACAGTGCATACAGGGCAACATGAAATAGATGCATAATACACGCTATCAAGGGTGACTTCAAATACATACATCAATGTGAAAGTAACTGGAGCATAAAACAGCTGACTGCGAATGCAAACTATGCCAGATAAATCCTACACACGCATTGAAATAAAAGGCATACGTCAAAGGAATTACTTAGGCCTACAAAGGACGCATAAAGACAAACAAACTCAACCAAGGAATGAAGAAAAATCTACACATTTAAGGCCACGCCCGTGATTCAGTACCGCTAAATGGACAGCGCCTCCGTACAGGTAGGGATAGTGGAGCTCCGTGGGGTGTGGCTGAATGGACAGCGTTAGCCAGTTAGGAGGAGGCTATTCAGTTTGTGGGCAGTTAGACATTTTCTGGGCACAGTTGAGTAGCCTACAATGCTAATATGAAAATCATAACTGGCACGCAGATCTTTAGAAATTGTAGGATCAATTGTAAATTCTCACTCATATGAAAAAGGTTGCAGCCCCCCTGCTATAAGCTATATGAAGGGGAATGCACACATACAGTGTTCTATGACAGTGTCATTGTCTTGTGCGCTTCCCACCAAAATGTTTGCGCTGCATTCAGAGATGTTCCTTTATAATGTGTGCGCCCAGCTCATTTTTGCGGCATGTTTTTATTTTGGGCGCGCTACAGAAGTCTATATCGAACCACTAATACAGGACTGGTAGAGGCCCAGTGCACTACCTTTGTGAAAAACATTTTTTCCAATCATATTTTTCAGGGGGTGCTGCAGCACCCTTTGGCTGTGGGCCGGAGAGAGAGGGTGCCATGAATCTTTATCTTGTCAGTGTCAGTAATTGGTTTCTCTCTCTACGACACGATGTTTATCGTTTAGGTTCATGTTTATAGCCCTGTTTATATCTGTGTTATAGTAGTGTAATATCATGCTTATTCATTCATGTTTGGATAGCTTATTTATATTATATAATTATTACACTTTACTGTTATGTTGTGCATGTTCTTGCCTTTATAGAAACACAATTAATTCAGTTTAACACAATAACTATTCCACCAAGATGAATTCCCAGTCAAGATCCATGGTATATAATCAAAGTGTGTGTGTTGGTGAAGAGGCAAAATAAACAAAACCCTGAAAAGAGAAGCATCAGCATTGTTCTTACCGGAAGTCCTGTAGAGGGTCAGAACACACATCAGTCATCATAAGTGTACTAGCCGGTGAGGGCATGCCAGCCAACCGTTTTTACATGAATAGAAAATATAAACATGTAATTTTTATTCCTCTCTATCACTCTCTCCCCCTTTCCTTCCACCTCTCTCTCTCTCGTCCACCCTTTTCCGTCCCTCCCTCCCTCTCTCCAGGTCAGTGTGTGCGTTCGTTCAGTGCATCCCGTGTGAACAGTAGTTGTGTGGTCCTGTTGTGGTCTCTGCAGCCTAACAGCAATGTACCGTGGTCCCTGGTCGTAGAGTGGTCGGGTCAGAACCACCAGGACAGACAGGGCCAGACCCCAGAGGGCAGGGAGAGGTGGACCAGGTTCCCCCCTACTGACAAGCTCCTCTACCTATATGGTATGTACATTTACTTCCTGTTATACCTCTCCGTCTCATTTCCCCTCTCATTTCCCCTCTCATTTCCCCTCTCATTTCCCCTCTCATTCTCTTTCATTCTTTCGCTTTCTTTAACGAATTGGAGGCGAAAGATTTACGGCTCCTCCTGGACCAGGCCCAAATCCCCGTAATTTGCATGAAGAGGAGACGCCGATACAGGGGGCGCAGATCCGGGTGCTTGGTGAGAATTTGTTGCGAGTGGATAATCGGCCTTTACCATCTGTCCTACTGGGGAACGTGCAATCACTGGAGAATAAACTGGGTGAGCTCCGTTTGAGACTATCTTACAAACGGGACATTAAAAACTGTAATATCTTATGTTTCACCGAGTCGTGGCTGAACGAGGACATGGATAATACACAGTTGGCTGGGTTTTCCGTGCATCGGCAAGACAGAACAGCGACCTCCGGTAAGACGAGGGGTGGTGGTCTGTGTCAACAACAGCTGGTGCGCAATCTCTAGTATTAAGGAAGTCTCAAGGTTTTGCTCGCCTGAGGTAGAGTACCTCATGATAAGCTGTAGAGCACACTATTTACCAGGAGAGTTTACCACCGCAAACCGATGCAGGCACTAAGACCACACTCAACAAGCTGTATAAGGCCATAAGTAAAATAGAGAATGCTCACCCAGGAGCGGCGCTCCTAGTGGCCAGGGACTTTAATGCAGGAAAACTTAAATCCGTTTTACCTCATTTTTACCAGCAACCAGAGGAAAATAAACTCTGGTCCACCTTTACTCCACACACAGAGACGCGTACAAAGCTCTCCTTCGCCCTCCATTTGGCAAATCTGACCATAATATATCCTGATTCCTGATTACAAGCAAAAACTAAAGCAGGAAGTACCAGTGACTCGCTCAATACGGAAGTGGTCAGATGACGTGGATGCTAAGCTACAGGACTGTTTTGCTACCACAGACTGGAATATGTTCTGGGATTCTTCAGATAGCATTGAGGAGTTTACCACATTAGTCACTGGCTTCATTAATAAATGCATCGACGACGTCATCCCGACAGTGACCGTACATATCCCAACCAGAAGCCATGGATTACAGGCAACATCCGCACTGAGCTAAAGGCTAGAACTGCCGCTTTCAAGGAGCGGGATAACAAAAACCCTTATAATAATATAATATAATATAATATAATATGCCATTTAGCAGACGCTTTTATCCAAAGCGACTTACAGTCATGCGTGCATACATTTTTTGTAAGAAATCCCCCTATGCCCTCCGACGAACCATCAAACAGGCAAAGCTTCAATACATAACTAAGATTGAATCCTACTACACCGGCTCTGACGCTCGTCGGATGTGGCAGGGCTTGCAAACTATTACGGATTACAAAGGGAAACCCAGCCGCGAGCAGCCCAGTGACGCGAGCCTACAAGACGAGCTAAATACCTTCTATGCTTGCTTCGAGGCAAGCCCCACTGAACCATGCATGAGAGCACCAGCTGTTCTGGACGACTGTGTGATCATACTCTCCATAGCCGATGTAAGTACGACCTTTAAACAGGTCAAAATTTACCAGGACGCGTACTCGGAGCATGCGCTGACCAACTGGCAAGTGTCTTCACTGACATTTTCATCCTCTCACTGACCGAGTCTGTAATGCCTACATGTTTCAAGCAGACTACCATAGTCCCTGTGCCCAAGAACGCCAAGGTAACCTGTCTAAATGACTACCGCCCCATGGCACTCACATCTGTAGCCATGAAGTGCTTTGAAAGGCTGGTCATGGCTCACATCAACACCATCAACACCATCATCCCAGAAACCCTAGACCCACTACAATTCGCATACCGCCCCAACAGATCCACAGATGACACAATCTCTATTGTACTCCACACTGCCGTTTCCCACTTGGACAAAAGGAATACCTATGTGAGAATGCTGTTCGTTGACTACAGCTCAGGATTCAACACCATAGTGCCCTCAAAGCTCATCACTAAGCTAAGGATCCTGGGACTAAACACCTCCCTCTTCAACTGGATCCTAGACATCCTGACGAGCCGCCCCCAGGTGGTAGGCAACAAAACATCTGCCACGCTGATCCTCAATGGGGTGCGTTCTTAGTCCCCTCCTGTACACCCTGTTCACCCACGACTAAGTGGCCACGCACGACTCCAACACCATCATTAAGTTTGCCGACGACACAACAGTGGTAGGCCTGATCACCGAAAAACAATGAGACAGCCTACAGGGAGGAGGTCAGAGACCTGGCCGTGTGGTGCCAGGACAACAACCTCTCCCTCAATGTGAGCAAGACAAAAGAGCTGATCATGCACTACAGGAAAAGGGGGGCTAAGCATGCCCCCATTCACATCGACGTGGCTGTAGTGGAGCGGGTCGAGAACTTCAAGTTCCTTTGCTTCCACATCACCAACAAACTATCATGGTCCAAACACACCAAGACATTAGTGAAGAGGGCATGACAACACCTTTTCCCCCTCAGGAGACTGAAAAGATTTGGCCTGGGACCTCAGATCCTCAAAAAGTTCTACAGCTGCACTATCGAGAGCATCCTGACTGGTTGCATCACCACCTCGTATGGCAACTGCTTGGAGTCCGACCACAAGGCGCTACAGAGGGTACTGCATACAGCCCAGTACATCACTGGGGCCAATCTTCCTGCCATCCAGGACCTCTATACCAGGCGGTGTCAGAGGAAGGCCCAAAAATTGTCAAAGACTCAAGCCACCCTAGTCATAGACTGTTCTCTCTGTTACCGGACAGCAAGCGGTACCGGAGCGCCAAGTCTAGGTCCAAAAGGCTCCTTAACAGCTTCTACCCCAAGCCATAAGACTGCTAAACAGTTAATCAAATGGCTACCCGGACTATTTGCATTGACCCCCTTTTTTACGCTGCTGCTACTCGCTGTTTATTATCTATGCATAGTCACTTTACCCCTACCTACATGTACACTAGCTCAATTACCTTGACTAACCTGTACCCCAGCACATTGACTTGGTACCAGTACCCCCCTGTATATAGCCTTGTTATTGTTATTTTATTGTTACTTTTTTAAACAAATATTTCGCAGAACAAATTCTGCATTGTTGGTGATGGGCTTGTAATTAAGCATTTCACGTTTGTATTCGGCGCATGTGACAAAACATTTGATTTGATCTGATGAATACCTCTCTTTAATCTTTCTGATTACTTCTCTCCCTGGGTCACCTTCTCTTTCACAACACTCAGTTCCGTGAATCAATGTTATTCTAGATTGATCTAGAAGGACATTAATAAACCCACAAAAACACTGCAGGACAATTGATCTGGACATCTGGTCAAACTGTGGCACTTCAATCCGTATGAAGTTCCAGTTTGAGAGGTTGTTGGCTGTGAGGTTCTGGCGCCCTCTAGTGAGAGTTTATAGACATGGTTGAATCTGTTCTAATCTGAGCCTCTTTCTCTGTGACTATATATGGTTCAGTCTGTTCTAATCTGAGCCGCTCTCTTTTCTGTGACTTTATATGGTTCAGTCTGTTCTAATCTGAGCCTCTCTCTGTTCTCTGACTATATTTCCCAGGTCATTTCTATGACTCTGATGAGTACGAGTTTATTTTGTATCCAGTGTTTGCGGATGGAGAAGGAGAGCCAGTGTATACTAAAGGTAAGCCCTCCCTCAAGATAGGAACATAAAATACACCCGGCCAAAAATATGTCTCGATGGCTGCTTTTACACAGGCAGCCCAATTCTGATATTTTTCCAATTATTGGTCTTTTGACCAATCAGATCCTTATACAATAATTGGACAAAAGATCAGAATTGGGCTGCCTATGTAAATGCAGCCTATGTATTTGGCATATGAGTATGGATTATGTTTATTTTGTATATTGCAGCACTGACATGCATGCATCTATAATATAAGTCATATGTTCACATTTTTTGAGTGCCAATTCTATAAGGGTGTTTAATACATTTCCTCTAGGGTTATGTATTGGTGTCAATATGAATGTGATCCAATGTGGATGGATTGATTGACTGATAGACTTACCCAGGGTGTTGTCCTGTCCTCCAGTCTTTAGGGGGGGTGAAGCTGGGCCTGCAGCCTACATGCTTCTGATGATCATCGCCTTCCTCGCCATCGTCCTCTTCGTCACCCTGGTCATATCCCAAAACCAGTAAGATTATATTTCTCATCATTATTGAATATAGTTTAAAGTTCAATCATTTGACAATCAACTGTATATACTGCTAACAGATTTTTGCTCAGTCGTAGACACACAATAGCAGTGGTGTATTCTGTTCTATTGCAGTGGTGTATTCTGTTCTATAGCAGTGGTGTATTCTGTTCTATAGCAGTGGTGTATTCTGTTCTATAGCAGTGGTGTATTCTGTTCTATAGCAGTGGTGTGTTCTGTTCTATTGCAGTGGTGTATTCTGTTCCATAGCAGTGGTGTATTCTGTTCCATAGCAGTGGTGTGTTCTGTTCTATTGCAGTGGTGTGTTCTGTTCTATTGCAGTGGTGTATTTACAGAAAGCACTTTTGGACTGTGTCTGACATTAAGAAAGAGAGGAACAATGGTTTTGGCCTCTGGGCAGGTGGTGAAGACTAAAGTGGTGATTCCAGGTGGTTATTGATCTGAGGAACACAGTCAGACACATTGATTAGGAGTGGAATTAGAGTATACGTGACATTTCAACAATGTACAGAATGTCCTCAGGGTTCAATTACTATGGTGATTGGCTGAATGTGTTCTGAGAAAGAGGGAGAAATGGAGAAAGGGGGTGAGATGGGGGCAGAGAGAGAGGAGAGAAGGGGAGGGAGAGATAGGGCTGGGAGGTATACCGTATTTTACTATATACCATTATTGGGGCGGCAGATAGCTTAGTGGTTAAGAGCGTTGTGCCAGTAACCGAAAGGTCGCTTGTTCTAATCCCCGAGCCGACTAGGTGAAATATCTGTCTGTGCCCTTGAGCAAGGCACTTAACCCTAATTGCTCCTGTAAGTCGCTCTGGATAAGAGTGTCTGCTAAATGACTAAAATGTATTGATGCACGGACCTGTTTAGGTTTTTACTTTACCTTCTACAGTGAGGGGGAAAAAAGTATTTGATCCCCTGCTGATTTTGTACGTTTGCCCACTGACAAAGACATGATCAGTCTATAATTTTAATGGTAGGTTTATTTGAACAGTGAGGGACAGAATAAGCGTCAGCCTCGAAACCTTAATGACTTGGAGAAGATCTGCAAAGAGGAGTGGAACAAAATCCCTCCTGAGATGTGTGCAAACCTGGTGACCAACTACAAGAAACGTCTGACCTCTGTGATTGCCAACAAGGGTTTTGCCACCAAGTACTAAGTAATGTTTTGCAGAGGGGTAAAATACTTATTTCCCTAATTAAAATGCAAATCAATTTATTACATTTTTGACATGCGTTTTTCTGGATTTTTTTGTTGTTATTCTGTCTCTCACTGTTCAAATAGACCTACCATTAAAATTATAGACTAATCATTTCTTTGTCAGTGGGCAAACGTACAAAATCAGCAGGGGATCAAATACTTTTTTCCCTCACTGTTTAACGGTATTTGAATGTTTGGTTTGTTAATGTGATATGCTGTGTGTAACGTCCATTTTTATAGTTTACACGCTACTTCAGTCATCCCTCTCAGCTCTCTCTCTCCATGCCGCTTTCCACACAGACCTAGTCTCGCCCCCTGTCACTCAAGGAGAGCATTTGTTGTTGCTTGACCACGAGACACTTGCGTTCAGTCTACATGGTCCATAGAGCCCCACAATGGAGGTGTTATAATACCCATAAAACCTTGCGGTCAAACAGGGAAATGGTTCCAATCGTTTTTCCACCATTCACTTTTCCCATAGGGGATTTAAAAAAGACTTAACAAGGGCTGTGTTTTGTGTAGGCTTAACCTGGCGTGACGTTTTGATAACCATGTAAATCTCTCTAGGACACCTCCCTGGTCACCTTTTATCAATATAGGTTCTTGGTCACCTCCCTGACCAAGGACCTTCTCCCCCGATTGCTCAGTTTGGCCGGGCGGGCCAGCTCTAGGAAGAGTCTTGGTGGTTCCAAACTTCTTCCATTTTAGAATGATGGACCCCACTGTGTTCTTGGGGACCTTCAATGCTGCAGAATATTTTTGGTATCCTTCTCCAGATCTGTGCCTCGCCACAATCCTGTCTCAGAGCTCTACGGACAATTCCTTCGACCTCGTGGCTTGGTTTTTGCTCTGACATGCACTGTCAACTATGGGACCTTATATAGATAGGTGTGTGCCTTTCCAAATCTTGTCCAATCAATTGATTTTAGCACAGGTGGATTCCAATCAAGTTGTAGAAACATCTCAAGGATGATCAATGGAAACAGCATGCACCTGAGCACAATTTCGAGTCTCATAGCAAAGGGTCTGAATACCTATGTAAATAAGGTATTAGTTATATATTTTTTAATAAATGTGCAAAAATATCTAAACCTGTTTTCGCTTTGTCATAACGGGGTAGTGTGTTTAGATTGAGGAAAATAATTAATTAAATCCATTTTAGAATAAGGCTGTAACGTAACAAAATGTGGGGAACGGGTCTGAATACTTTTCGAATGCACTGTATGCGTTGTCACCCTAGGGTCACGCACTATTCATGAAGCAAATTTAGAACTTGTATTATCCAAAAACATAAAATACTGTTAAATACCGTCATAACATCTTTTTTAAATACAGTGATATGATATTTTGGCCATATCGCCCATCCCTAGGGAGAGACCGACAGAGAGAGTAGAGAGAGAGCGAGTTTGAGACTGAGAGGCTCCATACCTTGTTGTTAAATTCTATTCTGTCTGAATCCCAGCATGAAGAAGTTTATGTGGAAGGATGTTCCCAACCCCAACAACTGTTCCTGGGCTCAGGGGATTGACTTCAGGAAGGTGAGGTGTACAGAAATACTACTCCACACACACTTACCCATGAATACACACTTAAAGATATAGCAGGCTACTCATACAGTAAGAGACCATAGAGACAAAAAAGTACATGTGCTGTATAGGACAGCTTGCTGCAGTATTAATAAAGTACTATTTCATCTTATTCACTGTATTTGGCAGGCCAGTTCACCTTGCTGTGGTCCTAACTCTCCTCCTCTCTTCTTGTCCAGGCTGACACTATGGAGCAGTTGTTCCGCCAACCAGAGGGCCTGCCAGTCTGGCCACTACTCCTCGTCTCAGAGACCATTTCCCAGGCTACCATTGTGGAGAAGACTGGGCTCCCTACGTCAGGCCCAGACAAGGACCTGATCCCAGCCTCCTCCCCAGCTCTCTGTGTGGACTCAGAGGTGCCTGGGATACCGGAGGAGGAGACCCTCCAACTCCCAGATCTCCCCAGGAGTTTGGAGAGCTCAGCCCAGCCATCAGTGACCTACGCCACCGTGCTTCTCTCTGACAACCCCCACCGCCTCTACAAGCAGGAGGGCAGCCTCAGCAGCTCCAGCGACGAGGGCAACTTCTCCGGCAACAACTCCGACATCTCTGGCTCCTTCCCCGGAGGTCTGTGGGAGCTGGATAATTCCCATTCCCGAGCCGGAGAGTCGGACCTGGACCCACGGCGTTCCTGCTCTTACAACTCTGTGGAGGAGTTTTCTGAGACGTCAGAACAGGAGGATGAGGCCCTGGGAGGAGAGAAGGATGGGGGGATGGAGGGGATTGAGGAGAAGGACCTGTATTACCTGGGGATGGGCTGTCAGGAGGAGAGTGAGGGAGAGGAGGGAGAGGAGGAGGAGACGGAGGAACACACAGGGGCTATGCTTCTCAAAGAGGTGATGGTTCTGGGGAGAGAGGGCTCGTCCGTTGAGTCCAACCCTTTGCTCGGGCGTCAGAACTCTATGTTTAGTGAGTCCAGTGACGAGGGGTCGGTGGTGGGGATGAGGATCGTCCCCCTCTATCTCCCCCAGTTCAGAACTGCTCCCTCCAGGCAGCTCAAAGCACAGGACAGCGCCCGCCAGCTGTAAGCCCTGCTAGTGCCTCATGTACTGATTCACTCTTATGCTGCTGTTTAGTCCCTCAGGAGGGAGAGGACTCATGAGAGACACAGACAATGGCCTGTGGCCGGTGTTCAGTCACTGATAGGCTTGTCTTTCTGTTGAGGGCATTTACAGAACCTTGGTTGTCTTAGATGGCACACTATTCCCTATATAGTGCACTTAGATCCCAATGGGCCCTGGGCAAAAGTAGTGCACTTATATTGAACATTTAGAATATGGGGAAAAGGTGTCCGAGGGTGCAAGGCGTCCTAGATGCTAAGCCTCTGCCCACTTTATAAGGAATAGGATGCCATTTTATAAGCACACTCCCTCCGTCTACTGTGCTACTGTTCAGTTCACAGGAAGTCATCTCTGTCACGTCTTAGAGCTGAGGAGGAGAAAGTGTTGCACACTTTCAGGAACTATTACGCTGGGATGTATTTAATTAAAAATTAGAAAAAATGAAAGAAAAGACCTATCTTCTGAAAAGGCCTATCTTCTGAAAAGGCCTATCTTCTGAAAAGGCCTATCTTCTGAAAATGTCTATCTTCTGAAAAGGCCTATCTTCTGAAAAGGCCTATCTTCTGAAAAGGCCTATCTTCTGAAAATGTATATTTTCTTTCCGATGGCTGTTCTAAGCTCAACAGACTGTGCAGCATAAGCACATGATGGGATCTTGTCTCAAAGCCGGTGTTACTGAATGGTTGGTGGTGTGCAAATGGTGATCACGATGATGTTGGATTTGGATGTTTTTGGGACACTTATTGTAACGCTTGTGGAGAATTGCCTTTCAGATCTGAATTTGCTTTCTGAGCCCTCAAAGAAAATATGTCTATTTTCTTCGTTGTATATGTACTGTATTTGAAACTTTGTTATGATATGTAAGAAATGTGCCATCTAGTTTCATTGCGTGCCATTTTCTATTGAAAAAGCTGTTGCTAGGTATACATGATAGAATAATGGACATTTTGAAACCAATGAAAAAAAAGAAGACTCTAAAGAATGTCTAGAAAATACCAGAGTGATATGTAATCCTTATCAAGATCTCTTGTCTATTTTTCGTGGTCAAAATAAAATATTTATTGCCACGACTGTTGACTTATTAAGAAATGGTTAACTTGAAGGTTGAGTTGAAGACGGTCCATACTGAGAAAGATAAAATATAAGTGTTTTCTCTTCCACCATTACCAAGGCCATCAGTCACTCAGACAGCAAAGAAAAGAAAGGTTAGGGTTGCAGACAGACAGTACTAGGAGAAAACCGTTTGTTTTGTTGAATATCGACTTGGTTGTCTTGGGGAGAGAGAGAGCGAGAGGAGAGAGAGCGAGAGAGGAGAGAGAGCGAGAGAGGAGAGAGAGAGAGAGGAGAGAGAGCGAGAGAGGAGAGAGAAAATATATACACTGAGTTGCTATCTGCTGTGACACAGGATTAGCCATGTTGCTAGGCAGGGACCATGGTTAGTCATGGCTTCACAGCAGAACACAACCTTATTTATCCTTGAGAACATAAAGACCACAGCTGCTCTCACCTCGCTGGAAGTAGGATATAAGCCAAACAACAACACCCACCTGGTCCATTAATACGTTTTCAGAATGTTCAGAATTTAGATGAAAGTAGAACAAGAATAGCCTGGTCCCAGACCTGTTTGTGCTATCATTCCAACTCCCTGGCATGATGGCACCAACAGACTGTTACCCAGGCTAGAGCAAGACAGCTCATACAGAATGTGCTGAAACATGATAGATTGGCATATGAGTCATTCAGCTTTATTAGATTTCATGTGAGAAACTGACATATCTATGATCTGAAAGGGTTTGGGTATGGAGTAACATTTGGTCCGATGGGATAGTATAAGAAATCAGATGTGGGATATTTGCATAATATGGAATTGGTTAGAGCAGGGTTTCTTAAACTATGGTTTGGGACCCAACGTGAGCCCTGAGCATGTGAGAGGTGGGTCCCGAGTTATGAGTAAACATTTATGATCACACACTGTTTCTTCTTAATTTGGGTCGTTCGAGGACAGTCAATTTCTCATTTGGGTCTCGAGCTGAAAAAGCTGAAGAACCTCTGGGTTAGTGTTATTTCCAGTGTACTGTAGCATAACTACCAGGAGAGGGTGCTCTTTATCAACATTTTACTGTAACATCCCCTCAAAATGTTTGATTTGGCTGTAACCCTGCTAAAAAAAAAACAGAGCAGCATAGGCTGGTGACTAGCCTTCATTGTGTTTTAGCTGGTGACCAGCCTATGTTGTGTTTTTGCTGTTGTGTTTCGCTGGTAACCAGCCTTTGTTGCATTTTCGCAGGAGATCAGCCTTTGTTGTGTTTTTGCTGTTGTGTTTTCGCTGGTGACCAGCTTTCGTTGTGTTTTCGTTGGTGACCAACCTTTGTTGTGTTTTCGCTGGTGACCAGCCTTTGTTGTGTTTTCGCTGGTTACCAGCCTTTCTTGTGTTTTCGCTGGTGGCCAGCCTTTCGCTGTTGTGTTTTCGACTGGTGGTCAGCCTTTGTTGTGTTTTCGCAGTTGTGTTTTCACTGGTGACCAGCCTTCGTTGTGTTTTCGCTGCTGACCAGCCTTTGTTGTGTTTTCACTGGTGACCAGCCTTTGTTGTGTTTTCGCTGGTGACCAGCCTTCGTTGTGTTTTCACTGGTGACCAGCCTTTGTTGTGTTTTCGCTGGTGACCAGCCTTTGTTGTGTTTTCGCTGGTGACTAGCCTTTGTTGTGTTTTCGTTGGTGACCAGCCTTTGTTGTGTTTTCGCTGTTGTGTTTTCGCTGGTGACCAGCCTTCGTTGTGTTTTCAATGGTGACCAGGCTTTGTTGTGTTTTCGCTGGTGACCAGCCTTTGTTGTGTTTTCGCTGGTGACTAGCCTTTGTTGTGTTTTCGTTGGTGACCAGCCTTTGTTGTGTTTTCGCTGTTGTGTTTTCGCTGGTGACCAGCCTTCGTTGTGTTTTCACTCGTGGCCAGCCTTTGTTGTGTTTCCACTGGTGACCAGCCTTTGTTGCGTTTTCGCTGTTGTGTTTTCACTGGTGACCAGCCTTTGTTGTGTTTTCGCTAGTGACCAGCCTTCGTTGTGTTTTCACTGGTGGCCAGCCTTTGTTGTGTTTCCACTGGTGACCAGCCTTTGTTGCGTTTTCGCTGTTGTGTTTTCACTGGTGACCAGCCTTTGTTGTGTTTTCGCTGGTGACCAGCCTTTGTTGTGTTTTCACTTGTTGCCAGCCTTTGTTGTGTTTCCACTGGTGACCAGCCTTTGTTGCGTTTTCGCTGTTGTGTTTTCACTGGTGACCAGCCTTTGTTGTGTTTTCGCTGGTGACCAGCCTTCGTTTTGTTTTCGCTGGTGACCAGCCTTCGTTGTGTTTTCACTGGTGGCCAGCCTTTGTTGTGTTTTCACTGGTGACCAGCCTTTGTTGCGTTTTCGCTGTTGTGTTTTCACTGGTGACCAGCCTTTGTTGTGTTTTTGCTGGTGACCAGCCTTCGTTGTGTTTTCGCTGGTGACCAGGCTTTGTTGTGTTTTCACTGGTGACCAGCCTTTGTTGTGTTTTCGCTGGTGACCAGCCTTCGTTGTGTTTTCGCTGGTGACCAGCCTTCGTTGTGTTTTCGCTGCTGACCAGCCTTCGTTGTGTTTTCGCTGGTGACCAGGCTTTGTTGTGTTTTCACTGGTGACCAGCCTTTGTTGTGTTTTCGCTGGTGACCAGCCTTCGTTGTGTTTTCGCTGGTGACCAGCCTTTGTTGTGTTTTCGCTGGTGACCAGCCTTCGTTGTGTTTTCGCTGCTGACCAGCCTTCGTTGTGTTTTCGCTGGTGACCAGGCTTTGTTGTGTTTTCACTGGTGACCAGCCTTTGTTGTGTTTTCGCTGGTGACCAGCCTTCGTTGTGTTTTCGCTGGTGACCAGCCTTCGTTGTGTTTTCGCTGGTGGCCAGCCTTTGTTGTGTTTTTGCTGGTGACCAGCCTTCGTTGTGTTTTCGCTGTTGTGTTTTCGCTGGTGACCAGCCTTCGTTGTGTTTTCGCTGTTGTGTTTTCGCTGGTGACCAGCCTTCGTTGTGTTTTCGCTGTTGTGTTTTCGCTGGTGACCAGCCTTCGTTGTGTTTTCGCTGGTGGCCAGCCTTCGTTTTGTTTTTGCTGGTGACCAGCCTTCGCTGTGTTTTGGACACATAAACTGGTCACCAGCATACCAATATATGCTGGTTACCCGCAAAACCAGCATCTAGTCACATTATGCTGGCCTGCAAAGTGATGTCTAATTCCTATTGGAATCCAGCTTGACTGGGGATATCAGAAAATCACCCACAATCTGCATTCAGAATGACTGCCAGGGTTAGAAAGATGAGTAAATGAGACTACCTAAAACATCCAAATTGGAACAATCATTTCAGTATAGGACGCAATAAGTCCAACTAACAGATTGAATTAGTTTAGAAAAATGTATTCTATTTATCTTTGTGTAGCATGAAATGTGAAATAAATACAATTGTGTAAATGTCTAGTAGTTGGCTTGATTTTTTAAAGCCCTGGATAGCCTACAGACACTATAAACAGGGTACCTGTGGGACCAACTATTTATTTGCAGCATGTTCAAGATTTATTTCAAAAGCGAGTCAGTATACCATTTGAATAAACTAGATATCCTAAATAGTGTTGTGTTTGCATTGGCTCAAATAGGTTATACAGCACGAACATGGTCAGCCAGGATTACCTGTAGGTGAGGATTGGGGAGAGTGCAGTGGTGTAAAGGGAATCTGTACTTTACTTTACTATTTATATTTTTGAATACTTTTACTTCACTACATTCCTAACTAAAATAATGTACTTTTTACTCCATACATTTTTCCGGACACCCAAAAGTACTCGTTAAATATTGAATGCTTAGCAGGACAGGACAAGTGTCCATTCACACACTTATCAAGAGAAAAGCTCTGGTAATCCCTACTGCCTCTGATCTGGTGAACTTACTAAACACACATGCTTCGTTTGTAAATGATGTCTGAGTG